CAACTTGTGTTCCCTTAGTTTCTCAAACACCTTCATCAAGTGTTTGGCATGCTCCTTTAGCATCTCGCTATAGATCAGGATGTCGTCAATATACACAACCACGAAGTGATCCAGATAGGGTACAAAAATGTGGTTCATTAGCACCGAAAACGTTGTTAGCACATTGCACAGCCTAAAGGGTATCACCAAAAACTCAAAACTCCCATACCTTATCCGACAAGTTGTTTTATCGACATCTTCCTCTGCTACCCTGATCTGGTAGTATCCTGACCTTTGATCAATCCTTGAGAAGTATTTCACCTTTCCCAACTTATCGAACAACTCTTCAATCTTTAGTAAAGGGTATTTGTTCTTCTTTGTATACTTGTTGAGCAACCAGTAGTCTATACGTGCATGTATCCATCTTTCTTTTTCACAAATAACACTGGCACCCTATATAGTGACTTGTTCAACTTAACATAGCCTTTACCCACCAACTCTTCTAGTTGGCACTTGAGCTTCTCAAGTTCTTTTTCATTCAAACGATAGGGGAGGTGAACCATTGCCTTAGCACTCTCGATTAACTCGATTTTATGTTTTATCGGTCATATAGAGGGGTAACCCCACCGGTAGCTCCTTCGGCATGGTATCTTGAAATTAGTCCAACAACTACTAAATCATTAAAGGTACTTCTTCTGGTCCCATCTTTTTGTCACTCTTCACTAAGAGCAACAACAAAAATCCCAAGATGGGGGGGGGGGGGGGGGGGCATGGGGCCACATGGGGTATAGTAGGAATAGTGAGGTCTAGAAACCAATTTTGAAGAAACTCTCCAATAGTGCTTCTAAACTGACTTGAGGTTGAAATTGGGGTTGAGGGGCCTTGGGTGGGAATGAGCATGGACTCGAGTGGTGTTAAAAGGGCCACCCAAGGAAGTGCTCAAGAGCAACTCTCACTTCCAGAAGGGAAACCAATTGCAGTGCTCTTGACTCATGTGGAGTGGTGCCCCATTTAAGTACCTTACGGCTCATTGGTCCTTGCTTTCCATAGGGGCTTGGGCCTTCCCTTTGGGATGGAAGTGGGGGAATAGGGGTACCCATACCGGGCCGTTAGGTCATGGTGTTTCCCCCCGGTGTCCTGAAACAAGTGTTGCACTTAAGGCTTGGGATTTAGAGGGTGTCCTGATCAAGTCTTGTTGTACCAAGGGATGGTAGGAATCTAGAGGTTTGGTGTGCTTGGCTACTTGTGCCTGTGGGGAGTATAACTGAATCTTAAGTCTAGTCTAGCTTGGGGAAAGGGACTGGGAGAGAATTTAGGAATTTGTGGATGGATTGCTAATACTCCGTTGCTTGTGCAATGAATTGCTAAAACCAAGTAAAACTAAATAGGAGTTGGTACAATAGGTAGGAACCTTGGCAAGGGAAGTTAATTAAGGCCAAGGCCGTGGTGGTCGGATAGACGAGGTGAGCTAATAAATTGGAAAGGAGAAATTTGTGGCTTACAATTTGGTATCGAAGCCTTTTCCTCAGTTCTAGTGAAGGATAGAAGTGGATTGCTAGAAGATGGCCAAGGTAGGGCGTAAAAGAACCAAGGTGGAGACGGAACCTCCTCCACAGCTAGAGCCTCCGGTCAAACAAGAAGCTATAGATGACGAATCTTTGTATGAGGAGGACTCTAATGAGGAAACTTCCACATAGAAGTCTAGTGGTGAAGCTCAATTATCCAAGGCTTGATTGGACATTCTAGAAGGACAATTAGCACAAACTAATCCCTTGCTAAAGACTCTTGTACGCAAGCTAAAGTGTGACGAGAAGCAGAAGAAAAAGCGAAATAATACAGATGCTGGTAGTGCAGAGGACGTGGACCCTTCGGCGGGCATTGAGGCAGAACTGAACAAGGTCAAACAAACCAAAGTGGAATCAGTCCCTCAAGCAGTTCCCAAGTACAAACCAAAGCCCCCACCAATCTTCAAGGGAGTGAATGACTATAAGATGGTGGAGGATTGGTTTTACGATATAGAGGATTACTTCTAAGCATTGCAATTACCGAGCTCGGCGAAGGTCCTATATGCAAAACTATATTTGGCAGATAATGCCAAGTCTTAGTGGGGAACAATAGATGCTAGCAAAGGACCAATGGCCACTTGGGAAATGATGAAGGTAAGGATCCATACAACTTATGTTTCTCCAAATGCTACTCTGCACTTAAGGGATGAGTTGAGTAGGCTGAAGCAGATCAGAACCATTCAAGAGTATGTGAATGCATTTATGGCAAAGAGGATACTTGTCATGGATATGGGTGATATAGATGTGTTCCATGTCTTCATATAAGGCTTGCAAACCTGGGCTCGAGGCGAGGTGATGCATTGGAACGACCAACTACAAGGAAACATTGGATGCAGCTATTAAAATGCATTTCAATGATAACCTGCAAAAGAGGAACATAATGGGGTTAAGGTCCACGTTCAGCAAAGGAGCTAAACCAAGGAGGATATATGGCAAAGGGAAATTTAAGAACAGTTTCTCTAAGAATGAGTTCTCAGGCGTTCGGAAAGGCAGATCTAGTAGCTAGCGAGCAAGTACGTGGGGGAGTCAAGCAAAAATTGACAAACCCATAAATAAGAAAGTTAAGTCGGCTAGTAGCGTGGGAAACAACATATGCTTCAACTATGGTGAAGCAAGACACTTTTCGAGAGAATGTCCCTACCCGAAAAAGGCCAAAGTCAATATGCCATTAAGTCGGGTGAAAACCAAATTGAGGTACGTTATCCAATCCCTAGCTCAAAATTACTCATTACATGAGCAACTTTGGTAAAGAGTCGTTTGTGACATCTTTGGTAGAGAGTCGTTCATGGACTTCACACACTTATTTTATATATATATATATAAAGCAATAGTGGGGAGGCCTACTGGCCGTTGGATCCCAGGTCTAGGCCAAGCTTAGTAGTCATGGTTTTTGTAAAAAAATTGTGGATGTTTGCACTAGCCAAGCAAAGGTTGGCCCAGCTTGGCTAACGATTGGCTAGTGTGAAAAAGAAAAATGCAACATGTCTTGCATTATCCCTTCTAGACTCAGGGCAATTCATAGTGGCAATTTAGGGTGCTTGCATTGCACTCCTTGGAGCTACATCATACCTCCACATCTCTTGGAAAAACTTTTGGCCCTACTCAATCCATCCTGAGGTATTGCACACCACCATAACAAAAAGGAATATAAATCCATTTGGCTTAGTGCCCTCTTCTAACAGCTTGCCAAAGATCTCCACCACTTTGGCTGCATTGCTTTGGTAGCTATAGCCTGCTATCAATGTGTTACAAAACCATGTCCTTAGATATCACTGGGGAATCAAAGATGTGTTGAGCAGTGGCTATAATTCTACACTATAAACACTATTTGTGACACTTGTAAATCCTAGCATAGAATACCCTTCCAGTTTCCAAATCCACCAAAGTCCCACAAGCCATCAGGAGCACCACTGCAAAGATTGGTAGTGTTTCTTCCAGCCCTGTGCATTCAAAAACTTTAAAACCATCTTGCTCTCCATTGTTTTAGCATATCCTAGTCTGTCATGATGCTTCATCCGGTCGAAACGCTCGAGTGTCCAACATACTCTTATACTTTGTGGAAGTGTTAAGCAAGGTGTTGGAGCAGCAAGTTCCAAGCCATAATGCAACAGGGGAGAGTAAGAGTAACCCAACCACCCAACATTCATAGCATTTGTCATGTAGCTATGGCTACTACTGGCAGCGATATCAATGCCAATCTTATGATTGCAAGACAATTCACTCTGAACCTGCTTGTTGTATCCTAGGCAGGAGAAAACATCTAATCCTCCAAAGTCGTGCTGTCCTTCAATGTTAGCTCACTTTAAGTTCTTTTTTTTAGATTTGGAGAGTTATCCTTAGACACTTTAGCAATTTAGGAGTTGATCAAGTAGCAAACATCACTAAGCATAGCAAATCTCTCGAAATGGCATGCAATTTGCCAACCACCCAGCATTTGCTAGGCAATTGCTAATATATATATATATATATATTGAATTGCCACATCAATTCTATACAAATAATCCCATGATTACATAGGCTATAAGAGTGTATATGTATCTAAATCGTTTATCGATATAAGCATTCAAAAGATTTTATTATGGAAAATGCTTTAGTACTTTATTGATATTTGAGCCAATTATATATACAAATCCATCATCCTCCACAGATAGTATTGTTGATTTAATATCTATAAACCATATATCTACATCTTTAAAATCTTTTATTACTAATTTTCTGGTTTTTAAAAGTAACCAGCAATCAATACCTTTGTTACTGGTCGGACTTTCCCATAAAACATGCATTCTCTTCCATGTTAACACTAAATTACAATTTTCCTCAAGAGTTAATTCAAAATATCCATTTGGAGAAACTAGTGGATTCAACTTGAGTAAATAGGATCCTATCTCATATTTTTCACCACTCATAAGTGTAGACCTGTAAATCCAACAATTATTAACAGCTGCATTTCTAAAAGTTTTATTATTATTCTCTTAGAGTTATATCTTCTAGCATTTAGTAGTTTGTATTTGATACCAACATAATCCAAAGTAGCAGCTATAAGACCATAATTTCCCACTCGAGCTTCTTTTAAGATATCAAACAAAAGCTGATTAAGTTTTCCAATAATTTCTTCTCCTGATGCCCCTGTCCCTGTCTGTCTCCATGCCATACTACACATCCCATTAGGATTTTTACTGTATATCCATATGGTAATTTCAACGACTTTATTTGGTAAAGAGTTTCAGTCCAAGTAAAGGCATTATACTATTTATATGTTTCTTCTATTTTAGTATCACTAAAAATTTTCCAATTTCATTAATATCACTTCTAGTAATAAATCTATAAAGTGTAAGAGCATCCCAATTTACATCTGCTTTAACAGTCAGATTGAGAGTCACTATAGCTAGCTTCATGGAAAATACACAGAAATGTGAAATGCCAAATAAAACAATTACCAGCTATTTTGTATCCATCAGAAATAATATTATAAATTTACTAAATTGAAAATCACTATTACAAGAATTAGCTTCATATAGTGTATCGCGCCTAATAAAACAAATTTCATAGGGGAAGCTTTAGTTTCTTCTTCCTTCGCTCATCAAATGTGTCGTTATAGCTGTCATTGGAGTGATCAGAGAAGGATGACGAGCTCTCGCCCGCACTCACGAATTCGACAAATGGCTCGCGATCAGTGACCTTGATCACCTCAGAGCTGATGCCCGACGAAGAATTGCAGCTCAGCATCGCATCTTCACTGGTGCTAGAAGAATAGCTTGCGTTGCAGTTGTTCCTGGCGACCGAAACGTTCCTTACGACCATGCTGTTCGTGTTCATGGCTCGAGGCGGCGGCATGAGCACCCTTGCGGCTGACTCTCGTCTCTGGAGAAAACCAAAGACAACCAAAGCAAAAGAGAATGTTGTGGATTTTTCACTGAAAAGATTACCTCCCTATGCTGTGGAGCAACATCTGTGTCTCTTGAGGTATCATCCCTGTCATCTCCTGGCCTAAAAGAATGAAACGAAGTGCTACTATAAACTTGAAAGCATGGAAAAAAATACCTCGGACTTCTGTCTGTCCACTCATCATCGGCATCGGCATCGTCACTGGAGCTTCCTTCGATAAATATATCATCCTCGCTCAAGTCCATGGGCTCCTCGTCTTCGCTCCCCGTCTCTAAGTTGTAAAAGAGAGTTAGAGGACCATTCAGAACTTTGCTTCTTTTCTTTTCTACCTTCGAGCTCAGTTCCCGCAGCCGCGGCAGCACTTCGTCGGGATTTAATCTTCTCACGGATTTCCAGCCTCCGGGATCTCGTGAGCTCGTCGTCACTCCCGATAAACAGTGATACATACCTTTCAGACTTTGGAAAAAACTGCACGACAGTGAACCTGGTTTTTCAGTGACGAGCCTCGATATGAGATAAAGACGAGAAAGAAGAGAAGACTTTGTCTTCGCTACATACCCGCACGTATTCAAGGTCTTCTTTCAGCCTTGCAAGTTGATCCGCGATGCCGGCTATTTGTCTTGAGGCATTTGCCTGGTGTGGATGATGATCCAAGTTCCAGCGATGCTGCTTCTCCAGACGTCGAATTCTTCTCTCAAGCTTCCTACGTTCTAAGCATCCAAAGAGATCCAAACGAATAAAAAGAAAGTAAAGCGACTCCACTCACCAAAGAACTTTAGCTTTCTATCCCGCAGAGCCAATTTCCGATGCGCGTGGAGCTCCGCCTGCCGCCTGAGATCTTCCAGCCGCTTCTCATGCGCGGTCTTGATCTCGAGAGGGAGAGTCTGCAAACGCGATCCAGCACTTTCCGAATTCCCGAAGAATTCGAGCTTACCTTCTTGAGCAGGCGCTCGATGGAGCGAATCTGGTTGCGAATTGCCTTGCGATCCCCTTCCTTGCCGCGCACAGCCAGCCCGCGGGACGATCGCGCGGCATACCCGCCCCCCAGCGACGGAGATCTTCCGGCGACACGCCTCTTGGCGTAAGGACCATGCGCCATTCCTCTACCTAGGGTTGGCGCTCACCAGGAAGATGCGCCAACACTTGGCCGCCATATAGAAAGGAGCGAAAATGTGGATAAGGTCATCCAACGGCCAAATCAAATGCCACGTGTACGCTGAACATTAGTCAGGGCAATTTAAATGCCACGTGTACGCTAGACATTAATTCTAGCAAGCTATAACATTGGAGAGCATCGAGTAGGCTGAGATCTTCCATGGTTCCAGTGCTATGGCGTGCTGGGCAGCTCGCACACCGTGTTCTAGCGATCCTTGGGCTCTACACGCGCTCAACAGGCACCCCCAAGCCACTGTCGAGGTCACCGTTTTGTCCACCACTCTGGTAACCTCTTCCGCGTCGCCCAATTCCCCCAGCCGCGCGAGGAGATCGACCACGCAACAGTAGTGCTCTCGCGAAGGATTCACGCCAAAGTCGCTCCAGATCCCCACGAAGAACTGGTAGCACTCTTGCGCCTGGCCCAAGTGGCTCAGTGCCGCGAGAGCCCCGGTCACTGAGACCTCGTCGGGATTGACGCCGTCGAGCAGCATCTCGCGAAACATTGCGAGGGCTTCGCTCGAACGCGAGCTGGCAAATGCCGTGACGATAGTGTTCCAGGTGATCACGTCCTTCTCGGGAGTGGCGTCTAGGATCTCTTTCACTTTTTGGTCGTGGCCAGTGACTAGGTATACAGACATTATCGAATTCCACGATACCAAGTTCCACGAAGACATTCGCGTGTAGGTGGATACCGCAAGCTCAAGATCCCCGATTTGGGCATTTGTTGCAACAAACGTGTTCCAAGACACCACATCCCTTTCCGGCATTTCATCAAAGACTTGCTTCGCGGAATCATAGAGTTTTTTTCGGGCAAGCACCGCCACCATAACGTTGCAAGCCACAATGCTGAAGTGCGGCATCTTTTCAAAGACGTTACAGCTTCCGCCGGCATCTGCAGCTACCATTGCGTTCCAGGAAACAAAATCTCTCTCGGGCGCCTCGTCAAAGACGGACTTGGCTTGTTTCAGCTGGTTGCTCTTGCAGAACGCACTTATCATCGAGTTGAAAGAAACGAGGTCCCAGCACGGCATCTTTGCAAAAACTTCTTGAGAAGCAGCAGCCAAATCTTCCTGCTGAACAAATGTCGCCATCAGCGTGTTCCACGACAACACTTCTCTCACGGGCATATCGTCGAAAACCAGTTTCGCCTGGAGGATTTCACCGGCGTTGGAAAGCACGGCCATCATGTTGTTCCACGAAGATATGCTCCGGCAAGGGATTTTGGCAAACAGATCGTCAGCTTCAGCAATGTGTCTACTGTGACCACACGCAGAAATCATCGCGTTCCAGCATATTACGTCCCGCTGGCTCATGTTTCTAAACAGATTGCTGGCCTCTCCAAACTTTTCGTTGCTGACGAGAATGGTGAAGAGCTCAGTCCACAATATCGGGGTGAGAACATCGCCAGGAATCCTGTCGATAAGCTCCAACACCTCCGATGCAAGACTAGAATCGATGCAAGCTTGAACGACAACCATCCAAGAAACAACGTTGTGAGTCGGCATCTTGTTGAAGGCATGGATCGCTTTCAAAGAATGACCAACTTGAGCATAGGCAGTCACCATTATGTTCCACGATACAATGGTTTTTGCAACCATTGTATCAAACATGACTCTGGCATCGTCAACATACCCAAGTTGGGCATACCCCTGGATTAAAGAGTTCCAGGAAACCGAATCTTTACACGGCATCTCGTCAAAGATACGCCACGCTTGCCAAAGATTCCCGGCCTCGGCATTTGCCGCGATTACGAGGTTGTACGATACTGTGTTTCGTACGGGCATCCGATTGAATATCTGGACAGCTTCTTGATAATCCCCGGTCTGGGCATGTACCGATATGAGGGTGTTCCACGAGAAAACATCACGCGCAGGATTCTCGTCGAAGAGAGATTTGCACAATTCAGCACTTGACAATCCAGTATTCATTAAAGCATTCCAAGATTCGGTGCTGTGAATCGGCATTTGATCGAACAGGTATTTGGCTTCATCTATTTGCCCCGCTTGAGCATTCGCCGAAACCATCGCGGTTGATACAACTACGTCGTGAGCAGGCATCTTTTCAAGCATCGAAGACGCCCATTCGAGATTCCCGTTGACCAGGTAGGCGCAGATCAGCGTCGTCCAGGCAACCTCATCGCGAACGCGCATTTGGTCAAACAAATTCCTTGCGTTACGCAAATGCCGGTTTTGGGCAAATGTCTGCAGCATCACATTCCACGTGACGGCGTTCCATGACGACATCCGACCATAGATATCTTGCGCTTGGTGGACGTTTTTCTGGTGTCCATAGCCAGTGATCATCACATTGTAAGTAACAAGGGTTTTAATCGGAGCCTTGTCAAAGTACTCCTTCGCGCTAGATAGCTGCCCATTTTGGGCAAATGCTGAGACAATTATTGTCCAGGAGAATTCATTGGGCTCCGGGATGGATTCAAACACCAAGCGTGCGTCGTCGAGGCTTGCGCACTTGCCATACATTCGTACGAGAAGATTGAGGAGGAAAGTGTTGTGGGAGTGTGGAGTCTGGGTGATGAGATTGTGGATGCGCTTGAGCTCCCCAAGATCTTTGGAGTTCCCGCAGAGATTCACAGCGTGCGCGAGCGTGTCTTGGGCGCTGGCTCTCAGTGCTTGTGCTTGCTTGGCAGCAACTTTATGCATCCAGAAAAATGCCAACAAAACATTTCAAAAGTAATTTTTTCGATGACAGAATATACTTGGAGATTATAGCATATTCTTTGATTTAAATTAATGTTTGGATTTTAAAACAATTTCTACACCCTGTGGAACTTTTTGAAGTTTTTGTACATTGCACAATTGATTTTACCTATATAGTGGTCTAGATTGGTAATTTATATGGTCTGTCCAAAATTGCATATTATTACTATCAGACTTATATCAATCAGTTATAGTTTGGATGTCAATGCGTGTTTGATTTCAAGTGAAGGTGAAAAGAAACTCAAAAAAAGAAAACAACTATACAATTTCTTTTTCTAATTATTACTAGAGATAATTTATTACTTTATTTTCATTTGAACCACTTAAATATATCATCCTTTACTGATAGTGTTGTTAATTTACAGCTTGGACAATTAGTATCAATAAATCATATGCTTGTATTTTTAAAGAAAATTATGTCAATTCCCTGTAAAGCATATATCCATATCCAAATTCACACTAAATTACAATTTTCCTTGTGAGTTAATTCATACTCTTAGAGAAACTAGAAGGTTAGATTTAGTAAATATCCTATTTTTCACCACTCAATAATAGTAGATATTTATATCTAATAATTATTAATGGATTTGTACAAATTTTATTTTTAATATTTGATGTACAATAATTTGCTAAAATTTCTATTAAAAGCTCAATACCCCATTAGGCTTTTTACTGTAGATCCATATGTTAATCTCAAAACATTTATTTTGATAGACTAAGATTATTAATGCTATCTTGGCCTCAGGGCCAATCCATAAATTTTGCGTGAACACAAAAATACTTAATAAAATTTTTGCTTGGGTTTGCAAAAAGCACTTATGAGTGACTCTGCGGTGGGTAATGGCATTGCTAAAACCTGGCCAGAGGTGCTTTAGTCCTGGCCACAGTCACATACCTCTTGAACTGTGGGCTTAAGGTGTTGAAGGTATTCTTGCTTGTCAGGTTTGGGTGGACCTCTTGGCTTGTGGTGCATGACATGACCTTCTGTACAAACTCAGCTAGTGGATTTTCCATAGATGATTCTAGGTTAACAGGAATATTTTGATCCTAAAATATTCTCATACCCAGCCACAATCAGGGTTCCCACTCTTTATTATCGTGTTCTAGCGAGAGAGATGTGCTAGAGAGGCATAGGGCTGGCCACCCTCAACAAATGGCGACCACAGCAGGATCCAGATGAGAGCATCACAATCCTTCTCTTTCTCTCATTTCTCATATAGATGTATAGTTTCCAGTGTCTTCTTGCACTCCTTACAGGCCCTGACACTAAGATGTGCCATGGAGTAGAGATTTCTGTCTTTCTAGTCATTCTTGGAGAGTTTGAGAGATTTACAATGCCATTCTCATGTTCTAGAGTGCCAATTCTCTTGTGTGATAGATCTAGGTCTCTTCTCCCCTCACATGCTTGGATCGCTTAGAGATGTCACTGTTTTCATTGCATGAAAGTATATTTTAAAGCTCAGTTTGCTCTCAAATCTTCATCATTTGGCATGCCATTTGGTCTTGAGTGAGATCTCCTCGTTCTCTGTTGTTGAGGTAGCATTTCCTAACCATATTTTGTCATTGTGTTCTTTGTTGTTGAGGTAAGCCATGTATATGTTTACAGCTTGACTATGCACTAGAAAGCATCACATGATTGGGGAGAAAATCGGAGCAGGCCGAGGTATTCTAGTGTCTAGGCTGTGATGGCAGAGGCCCAGGAGGTGGGCATTTGCCCATTCCTCTTCAAGGGCAAGGATTTTGCCCTATAAAAGAGATCAATTGACCCATATGGATGGATCTGATCAAGAGCTGAAAAGGATTAATAATGGAATTGAGGCCCAAAAGATGATCAGAGGAAGCTCAAAAACCAGTGAGCTATAGGATGCATTTGCTCCTTTTTGAGCTATGGGGTCTTGCTCGGCTGAGATGAGCGATGCCATAAAGCTTTGGAAGTGGCTCGATGATGAATATAACAAACACTCAGACATAGAGGTGATGAGGATTCATTCTCAGATTGCATATGTTTGAGGATGGTGGGGATATGCAGGTGCACACACAAACATTTAGCAAACTCTTTTTAGATCTTGCTGCCCAAGGAAAGGAACATGAGGTTCCGGATTCAATGCAAAAGATCCTACTCTACAAGTCATTGCTAAGAGAGTAGGATGGCTGTGTGGAGATGACGAGAGAAGGGAACTTGATGTTTGATGGTGCTGTGGCAAAGTTCATCAATACTGCATTGCTGCGAGCAAAGAAAGCTCAAACCTACAAAGTCCACCATGCTATGTATGCTAAACAAGAGCTAGTTGGCTCCAGCTGAAGAAAATAGATGGCAAGGACGCTGAGAATGGGGGCTCAATGCAATGTCTGGAACCGAGCTGGTTGAGGAAGCCAAGGAGATGGAGGCAGTGTTTTCAGTCATTTGCAATTGGTTTCATAAGGGAGATGGTTGAGATAGCACAAGGTGCATGCATTGTGACCAATACAAGATGTGTTGGGAGATTGGACACTGAGCCCAAGATTGTCCTACCAATGTTGTTGCAAACCTGAGCAAGCCACAAGAGTGATGAAGAGAATCATAATGCAGAGGTTGAGCAGAATGGACAAGCATGGGTGTTAGATTCACGATGTACTAACCTCATGAGTGAATGAATGGATGTTTAAGATGTATACACTAGCATAAAGGTCCAAAGGAGTTGTCCTAGACAATTACACTCGCCTTGGGATCCAAGAGAGTGGAAATCTCCACTTCATGCTTGAGGATGGAAATGAGATAGTCTTTTTGTAGAGATCCAAACAGATCCCATGAGCTGTACTTCATGAGAAATACAAGGAAAGAGAGAAGAAGGGTACCTTGCCATACTCACCTCATTGTATATGCCAATTTCAAACTTTTGTTTTATTGATATTCTTGGTGAAATGAACAATATCCCTTCTCTAAAAGGTGGGAATGCTAATTGTTTCAATAGGCCTTAGACAATTTTGCAGCTCTTTCTTACACTTTAAACATGCCAGCTAATTCAAAGATTCATTCAACATTCCATATAAGTAAACTTAAAATATGTTTTAAAGATTGATGCTAAGAAGGTTAAGCTAACCAAAATTCTTGTTCAAAGGTTGATGAAGACATGTCATAAGATAACTTGGGAGTTGTTAATTCAATGGAATGACTATTCTTTGGATGAGGCTATATAAGAAGCTAGAATAACGAAAAGAGAGTGCTTTAAAGTGTTGATTATGACTTAGATGGAGAATTGAGTTTTATATGTCAGAAGCTCATTGTTCAGAGAAGGGAAGATTGACAAATTTTTATAAGGGCTCTAAACTAATCTTGTCCAACCCTCAGCCAGGATTCAATTTCTACTTTAGTCAATAGTAGTGAATATATTAATCAGTAAATATAGAGAAATGACAAATACATAACACTTAGTTATATTACTATATAGTTTTAGTTATTGCTCTATTCTCATTCTATTCTTTCTATAACTTTTTTATCATGAAAAAAAGCCATATTACTTTCTTTTTTTCATTAACATTTTTCATGATGTTTGTGTTGTTGTTTGCACATCTTTTTTCTATAGCTATTTTGCTTTGGACTCCTTTTGTGAGGCTCATTTAACTTCTCAAGACTATTGTTTATGGTTTGTTCATGAGGAGGGGAGAATAATATAAACCATAAGAATATTTTAAGAATATTCTATAATTTATGGTTGGCCCCTTTTCAATTTGTGTTAGATTTTTATGAAGTTTGAGGATGTCCCAAAGATAACAAGTATATATTATTATGAGTTCTTGGTGATCCTATTTGGTTTGATAAATGCTTCCATAGCTCTTTAAAGACTGAATAAAGTTTTATAGCCTTATTTAGAGAAGTTTATGATTAATTACTTTAATAATATCTTGAGGGACAACAAGCTCTACTCAAATTTATCCAATAAGTAGATTCAGGTTATGGTTGACCAGCTTGTCCCTTCAATAGTGTATGATCTCTATAGTGCCTTGGTATAGTTAGAGTTTTTTTGACAATTTATTAAAGGCTTCTCAGAGATAATTACTTTCCTGACCAATCTTCTTTAGAACATGTTGAAGCATATTATAATTTGTGGTTGGGATAAGAAGTGCCAAGTGGTGTTTTTGTAGTTGGAGCAGTATTATGTTTTTGCTGAAGTGTTAAAGATTTTTGACTCCACAAAGTTGAGATAGATGCCATGTTAGTTGTCTATTAGTTGAAGTTAAACATCTTCTCATATATATGAGCCAAAAGTTTAATGCCACATAACAAAATTGGTTTACTTAAGACAAAAAGTTATATATTGTGATTATTATTGTGAAGGAATAGTGATATTAGATTGGACTTCCATATGAATTCAGACCATCAATGTCTTTCATATTTCAGTCATTAAAAGGATTTTAGAGGCCACCTTACTCTTTAGCACCAGTAAGATCCTAACAAATCCAGGTTAGATTATAGCATTCTTCCTTCCACTTTTAAGTCCCAAGAAATGAGAAGATTCTTTAATATTCCAATTCACAAAATATCCTTTATGCCCAAAATGTTCCTTGCTCAAATAGGCCACATAAAGATCCATGCAGCTGATTCTCATCTCTGAATTACGACAGCAAAAGATAATGCTATTGAAAAAAAGCTTACCTCCATTTTGCCTCTTGAAGTATCATCCCCGTCATCTCCTCGCCTAATAGAGGACTTATCAAAACTTTGTTTTTGTTTCTATCTACCTTGAGAGTTCAGTTCCTGCAGATCATTGCATTCGACCCGTTCAAGCATCAAAGACGCCCATTCGAGATCTCTGGAGTCATGTAAACGGATGTGTTTCTGGTGTCCATAGCCAACTATCATCTCATTGTAAGAAGAAAGGGTTTTAATCAGAGCCTCGTCAAAGTACTCCTTTGTGGCGTCGTTTGGGCAAATGCAGTGAGGATTATTGTCCGGGAGAATTCATTGGGCTTCAAAATGGATTCAAACACCGTGAGTGCGTCATTGAGGCCGCCACACTTGTCATACATTTGCATGAGAAGAAAAGTGAAGTGTTGTGGGGGCGAAATTGTGAACATTTCAGAAGGAAGAAGGATTTGTAGAAACTTTATGGGATTCGAACCCACGCCCTCCCGGATTGGAGCCTAAATCCAACACCTTAAGCTGTCATGGATGGAATCAACGGCTGGCCATCTGCCAGGTGGACTGGGATGGTAACATTTAATGCTTCGTTTGCTTGCTTGGTGCGCGTTTGCACGTTCCTGCAGCCAGGGTTTGGCGGCCAACGATCGATATCCTAGGTTATCCTTCTCTCAGGCAATGGATTGATTCGCGACACGGCGGCGGCAATCGATTGATCAGCGATGGAGCTAGGTAGTCTGGGCCAGGTTCTTGATCGGATCGACAGGATTTCCAACGCGTCGCTGGGAATGCTGTCCAAGCGCGAGTGCATCCGGAGATTTGTGGGATTTTGCGAGCGGCTCCAGCCGATTCTAGAGCAATTGGATGCCGGGCAGGACGGGGAATTGCCAGTGACGCTGGCGACGGCGCTGGTTGGGATTGGAAGGGAGCTCCAGAGGGGCGAGTCGGTTCTAGAGGCTTACAAGGAGAGGAGCCAGTTTTTCGTTCTCACGCATTGCCTCGCGCTGACCAAGACCATGGAAGACTTGACCCAGAGTCTTGGGAAGTGGATCTCTTTACTAAATTGTGGTGGATTGTCGGAGCTTAAGCGGAGGATAGAAGACCTTTCCACGGAGATGCAACACGCTAGATTCTACGTAAGTATTTTTTTTTTCCTCTTCCTCTTCTTTGGTTTGTTGACTTTGAGATCTATGTTTTCTTTGTCTAGGTGACTGATGCCGAGAAAAGCTCTCTTGACGCTCTAGAAAAGGAGGTCAAGTATGACTTTCTCATCGTGGGAGTTCTCTGGAGAGACCTCGCGCGGCTGATTGGAGTAGAGCCGACAAATTCTCGAGCATTAGAAGAGCAAGTCCAGCTTTTGAAGAAGGAGGTGACGATGGTCGATGTCAGCATGGATCGAGAGCTTGATAAGATGCGGAACATTCTCAAGATCGTGGAGCAAGTTACTGCCGAGCCGCAGCTCACACGCATGTATAGCTACAAGGAGTCTGCTGAAGAGGAGCCTCTGCAACCGTTCGAGTCGTTCGTGTGTCCGCTGACGAAGCAGATCATGAAGGAGCCGGTTATGATCCAGTCGGAGCTGACTTACGAGCGCAGCGCGATTGAGAGATGGTTCAAAACCTGCGCTGAAGAGGGACGATCCGTGACTTGCCCGGCCACTGGTGTGCTGCTGGCATCCACGGAGATGAGAAGCAACATCATGCTGAGGCATACCATCGAGGAATGGTGCCAGAGGAACGCTAGGATACGAATTCACAAGGCGTTGTCTCAACTCTCGAAGAGCTCCTCCATGAAGAGTTTGGCGGGTGTGGAGGAAGCCTTGGATAGCATTCTTAAGGTTTGTGGGGACGGGCCGGTGACTCAGTACAGGCTTGGAAAATCTCACTTTACTTCCTCGGCGCTGGAATTTTGGAGGAAGAGGCTGGCGGGTGGTTCACAAGTTCGAACGAAGGCGCTGTATATTTTGCAACGAATTGCTGCTGACGACATCGACAGTCAAGTAAGTTTCTTTCCTCTTTTCTTTCTCCATGTTTGATGGATATTTCTTTAGGAGTGTTTGGTTGAAGCAGGAGTATTGAAGGCCGCCGTGAGAAGCCTTTCGAGCAGCCACGTTTACGAGGTGGAGGGTGCTCTCAAGCTTTTGCTAGAGATATCAAAGAAGCCAGAGTTTGCAAAGCTGATTGGCAAAGAGAAAGGAGCGCTCATTCATCTTCTTGGCATTTCTTCGAACTCTTCGGGAAACGCTTCCCTATCGGTCCTTGCGGACAGGACGTTAAGAAATCTGGAACAAATAGATTCAAACGTTTGGGAGATGGCTGAGGCTGGGCGGCTTGAGCCATTGATCACACGCCTTTGCAAAGGTACTGATAGTAGTTTACATAATTCTTACTCATGGCTGATTGTTTTGCTACAGGACCAGAAGCTACAAAGATCGAAATGGCCGAGTATCTCGCAGAGAAGATATTTGTCAACAGCCAGAAAGAGTTTGTCGCCAGGAAAGCAGGAAAAGTTCTTGTTCATATGCTATCAGCCAATTCCATGCAAAAAGAGGCGGCCATAGGTGCGCTGCTGAACCTCTCATCCCTGGAAGAGAACGTTCCAGTTCTAGTGAAAGCTGGCATACTGCCCCCAGTGGTTGAAATCATCCTCTCAGTTCCAACTTCATCGAATCGCTTGCGAGGAAATTCGAAGGAAAAGGCTGCGACGACACTAGCCAACGTCGTCGCCGTCGCTGGCAGCTGGGAGACAGTGCAGATCGACTCCGAAGGGAATTTAGTCCAGTCGGAGTACTTTGTGCACAGACTCCTGGGGCTCTTGTCATCGGTTGGGCCAGATTGGAACAGCAAAGCTCCTGAAAATTCTTATTGGAGTCGCTTCATCACCACAAGCCGCAGGTAATGTTCTTCTTTTTTCCATCCTTCCGCGATCCATCTTTGGCATAGTTTATGTTTTTGCCGACAGATAATGCTGTCAAGCACGTCGTCACTGGAAACGGCATCGCCATTATCCTCACTCTTCTCCCAACCAGCGATGACGCGCATCGGCAACATCTTCTCAGCTTACTCAGTGTTCTTTCAGCAAGAGCCGGCAGAGAGATAAGTCAAGCCATCGCTGAAACCAGGCACCTCCAGAGCCTTAAAGAGATAGTCAAGCTCAAGAACGCCGAGGAGAGCATCTTTGCCGCGTCCATCATCGCCAACATTCCTCTCACAGAGCACGAGACGATCAACTTCCTCGGCCTGGAGATGATAAGCTGGAGTCTGGCCACTATCGAAGAGCTCAAAACGCGAAGAATGGGATCAGCTCGCGTGACTTCATCCATGCTGGAGGCCCTGCTGGGAGTGCTTCTTCACTTTACTCGCTGCCGGGACTCTCAAACGATCGACGCGATGAAGCAAAGCAAGCTCTTCTCGCAATTCAAGCAGGTACTGCAGCTCCATCAAGGCCGGGCTTGGGTGGCGAAGCAACGAGCAGCCACTGGACTCGGGTACTTGTCCGAGAGAGGCCTGATTCTATCCCCAGAGGTGATGGCAAGCTCAAGCTCCAGGAGGAAAAACAACTGGATGGACAACCTCTTCTCGTGCTTCTCCTCGAAGAACTCGTCGCTGGATCAGGCCATTCTCGCCGACTCGGTGTGTTCGATCCACAAGAGACGGTGTGATCCCGACGCCAACTTTTGCCTGCGAGAGGCCGGAGCCATCGGCCTGCTCGTGGAGCTGCTCGAGGAGGACGAAGAGCAAGCCTCTGTCCAGATCGCAGCGGTAGAAGCTCTCTCGACGCTGGTTAGCAGTGACAGCCTCGTGGAGGCCGGAGTCCGCGAGATCTCGAGAGCGAGGGGAGTGGCGGCGTTCATGAAGTGGTTCCAGACGCAGCGATCCGGGGAAGCGCAGGAGAAGGGAGCGTTCCTGGTGGAGAGGATCCTCCGGGTGGAAGAACACGCGCGGCTCTACTCGCTGGATCAGGGGCTGGTCCGGGCGCTGGTGGAAGTTTTCAAGCATGGGAGAAATGGAGCTCGGAAGAACGCCGAGGCGGCGCTGGCTCACACCGATATGCTGTCGGTGGTCAGCGGGAAATCTAGCAAAAATCGCAGGTAACCACTTTTTATGTTTTCTTCTAGATGGATGATCTCTTTGTCTCGAGATCTTAGTTTCTTCCAGGATCATGAGATCTCTTCGTGTAAATTCTTGTGGCTATACGATCATACTAAGTTCTTTCAGATGATCTTGCGAGTCTTATTTTCTCTTTTTTAGATCAAAACGTGATCGTACATAAGTCACAAGAATTTACACGATGATCGTGGATGAACTATCTCGAGACAAAGAGATCATCTAAATCAAGGAAAACGATCCTCGTTTTGAATAAAAAAAAGAGAGGAAATAAGATAGTATGACAAGAATTTACACGAAGAGATGTGATGATCCTGGAAGAAACAATCTCGAGACAAAGAGATCATCTAAAAGATCCTATCATACTTCTTGCGTTGATCGATCGAAAGAGAAGAGTCGTACACTTTTTTTTGGGATCAAAACGAGGATCTTTTGTCGACCGTGTCATAACGGGCGGATTTGTTTGTTTGATGGGAAGATTGCCAAGAAACGCGCGGGATTGACGAAGCACGCGAAGAGAATTAGGGCAAGAGAGAGGAAAAGCGAGGAGGATCGACGATCATCACAGGGATCACGCGGCGGCGGCGGCGGAGAAATGCGTGGCTGCCGCCATGAATGAGCGGTGCTGCTGCTGCTTCTTGCCGTGTTTCTTGGATGTTCCTCCCGTGAGGAGGGAATGCCGCGGCTGGGGATGCGCTTCATCGCGATCCAAGCTTGGATCCCCGGATTGTTCATCTGGTTTGATTTCTCCAGTTCTTGATCGCCAGGGCCGATCGATCGCTGTGATGCGATGCGCCGAGGCGTGCTTCTAGCGGGACCATGATATTAGAGGTGGATTTCTCACTTCTCTCCCTTTCTTTAATTTTAGTTTGGCTATGGTTGTCCAGGATGGTGGCAAATCGTTCCTGCGCGTGAGCCTTGTGTGGAAGCTCGCGATCCTCTTCGTTGCTGGAGTGCTTGGAGTCTACCTCTTCCTTTCGCGAGCCGACCATGGCCTGAGCTACCATAGCCTGAGGCTTGATCCGCTTCTACAAGCCTGGAGAAAGGAGGATTTCTGCCCCCAGCGATTCGCCAAGCTTGAGTTTGCACAGCACTATCCCAGGCCCAAGACATACTCCAGGTAGAGTAGAGCTTTGCTTTCCTTTCCTTTCTTCGATTCGATTGAACGCTTTGTTTTGTGATGTTCTTCCTTCCTTCCAGGGGCGAATGCGCTTGTACTCCTGTGCACAACTTTGTCATCCTGTCCACGCAGCGATCCGGAAGTGGATGGTTTGAGACTCTGCTAAACAGTCACCCCAACATCACCTCGCATGGCGAGATTTTTTCCGTTCGTCCGCGACGCCACAACTTCTCCATTGTTTCGCACACTCTCGACGCTCTGTACAATCTCGACTGGCACAACAGCGCTTCGAAGAACTCGTGCACGTCGGTGGTGGGCTTTAAGTGGATGCTAAACCAGGTAATCTGGTAGTAATGCTGTGTTTATCTCTCTTGCTAACTTGGTGTGATCTCCAGGGTGCTATGGAGTATCGCAGCGAGGTTTCAAGCTACTTCAAGAGACGAGGCGTTTCGGTGATTCTTCTCATTCGCCGGAATGGACTCAAGCGTCTCATCTCCATCCTCGCCAATGCCTACGATCGCAGGCAGCCAATGAATGGAACTCACGTCTCACACGTCCACTCCGAAGAGGCGGTACGAGCAATAAGATCTCCTGGCTTTGCTGAAACGATCTCTCGCTTTTGCAGGCCGATCTCCTCGCGTCTTACAAGCCGACCGTCGACGTCGCATTCCTGAAGAACAACTTGGATCGCTACGACCTCATGATCAAGAACGCGCTCCGCGCTTTCGAGGGCACCCGCTTGCTGGTCATTTACTACGAGGACTTTGTCAAGAACCGAAAGGTAACTCTTGCTACTTCTTTCTTTGGCGATCTTCATCTTGGATCAAACTCCAGGAGATGCAACGAACCGTCCAGGAGTTTTTGAGCGTTCCAGTGATGAGGCTGCGAAGCAGGCAATGGAAGATCCACCGGGGGCCACTCTCGCAGTCGATAACCAACTGGAAGGAAGTTTTCCGGGAGCTCAATGGAACTTCATACCAGGGGTTTCTCGCCGACGACGACTATAGCTGATAGGAAAAATTCGTTGTATTCTTTTCTCCCCATCCATCGATCTAACCTTTGCTGTAAAGAAATTTCTCTGTCGATAGTTCTAAAGCCATAATGGTTAAGTCTTAGCACTCTTTTCTTTTTCAAATTTTAGGGCTATGTCGATTGGGGGCGACTGCCGCTGCTGCGTGGACGAGGAGATCGATGCGTTTGGCGAGATCGTCGATGGCAACGGCGTCTTCAAGTACTACGCCGATGGCGCCTGGAAAATCTCGTCGTCAGAGGAGTCGCTGCCTGTCATCAATCCGACTTCTCGGGAGCCCTTCTTCGCGATCACGGGTAAGTGTCCTGCCGCATTGTCTGTTTTTAGGATTTTAGATCTAGTTCCTCGTCGATCCAAAGTTTGATTACCTCTTGTTTGATTTTTTCTTTTGTTTGTCTTGAATTATCTTTCTTAGCTCGAAGAGTTTGTCTTGATTTCATTCGATCGATCATTTTTTGCAATATGTCTGCAAGTTCGATCTTGTTTTGTGCTGTCTACGAACCAAAAATTTCGTGCTGTGCTCTTGCTGTTGTTTTTCTGAAATTGTCTGTTTTTTCATTGGATTCCTTCTTGTTTGATATTTCTTTCGTTTCTCTTGAATTACTCGAAGAGTTTGTCTTGATTTCTTCGATCCATCTTCTGTCAAGTTTGATCTTTTTGTTGTCTACGAACCAAAAGTTTGTGCGGTTTAAGCTTGCTCTAGGATTGTTTTTTCTACTTTCAGACTAACATCTGAATTTCATGCAGCGTGTACACGCTGTGAGGTGAACAAAGCATTTCACAGCGCCAAAGAAGCTCAGAAGTCATGGGCCAAGACACCGCTTTTCAAGCGTGCCGAAATGCTCCACAAGGTCGCGGGCGTCATGAAGGAGAAGAAAAACATGGAGGCGATTGCCGAGTGCCTAATCAAAGAAGTCGCAAAGCCAGACAAGGATGCTTACACCGAGGTTTCCAAATTATTATCATGAAACCAACAAGCACTACTGTTTCTACGTAAGCACCAGCTTTTGAGCATCCCGTTTTTGTTTAACTAAGGTGCTTTCTTTGTTGTGTGTGGATCACTGCAGGTTGTGCGATCCGCGGACTTGCTGTCCTATACTGCCGAAGAAGGAATCCGGATACTCTCGCAGGGGAAGTTCCTTGTTTCGGACTCGTTCCCAGGAAATGAGAGGAACAAACTATGTCTATCGTCGAAGGTAGCGTCTCTTTTCTTTTTCTTCATTCTCATTATATGGTTTGCGCAGGTGCCACTGGGAATTATTCTTGCTATACCTCCATTCAACTATCCTGTGAATCTTACGGTTTCCAAGATTGGACCAGCTCTGATTGCTGGCAATGCCGTGGTTATCAAACCACCAACACAGGGTGCTGTCTCGACGCTCCACATGATACACTGTTTCCATATGTCAGGATTTCCAAAGGGCCTGATCTCGTGTGTTACGATCAAAGCCTCGGAATTGGGTGATTATATGACCACGCATCCATTAGTAAACTGCATAAGGTGAGCTACTCTCTCGCATCGCAGGCAAAGTATTGACTTTTGCATCGCTGTAGTTTCACAGGGGGTTGTGAGACTGGAATTTCCATCTCACAAAAAGCTGGAATGATACCTTTACAAATGGAGCTCGGGGGCAAAGATGCCATGATAGTTCTCGAGGATGCTGATTTAGACCTTGCAGCAACTAACATTATCAAGGGAGGTTTTTCGTACAGGTGAGTCTATCGGAATGTGTTTTTGTTTGTCAGTCCAATAATTTCGTGGATCTCTGTTTGTAGTGGACAGCGTTGTACTGCAGTAAAAATTGTTCTGGCTATGGAAGGCATAGCTGACGCGCTGGTTTCCAAAGTAAATGCACAGATTGCGAAACTTAAAATCGGGCCACCAGAAAGAATTGACACCGACATCGTCGACGTTGTTAGTGAAGCATCTGCGGACTTCATTGAGTCTCTTGTAGCAGACGCGATCGACAACGGTGCCAAGATTTGCCAGGTAAGTATTTTTTACAGTGCTGCTTTGGCAAACCTTCACGTTCTTCTTCTCTTCTCAGGGGTGGAAGAGGCGAGGTAACAAAATATGGCCGCTGCTCATTGATAATGTGACAACTGAAATGAGAATCGCTTGGGAAGAGCCCTTTGGTCCTGTGATTCCCGTCATGCGCATCAAGAGTGTGGAGGAAGGCATAGAACACTGCAACTCTAGCAAATACGGTCTCCAGGTCTGTGCTTTAAACCACGGGAAGAATTACTTTACGGGAAGTTTCTCTTGTATTTGTGCAGGGGTGTGTTTTCACGAAAGACATTAACAAAGCGATACTTGTGAGTGATGCAATGGAAAGCGGGACTATCCAAATCAACGCGGCTCCTGCACGGGGTCCAGATCATTTTCCCTTCCAGGTAATTCACTTGCAAGGACGTCCTTTTTCCTAAGTTTTCTTTCTATCTGACCAGGGAATTCGCGATAGCGGAATTGGCTCGCAAGGAGTGACCAATAGCATCAACTTTATGACCAAGATCAAGACTACAGTTATCAATCTGCCAAGCGCCTCGTACTCTTTGGGTAAGATTCTTTTTCTGGAGTTGAAAGGTTTGGCAATGGAACGAGCGTTTCCTTGTTTTCAGCTGTGGGTGACTACGAGTACAAGGAACCGGAAAGGCAGCTGGATGCCGGAGATTTTGAAGCTATGAGAGGAGCGCCGTGTGGCTACTGCGCCATGCATTCTCTAATCCCTTCGTCAAGGCTAAAGACTCCCCCGACGACTACAAAGCTCTCTTCACCTTTTTTTCTTCGGGCCAACACGCACAACTGTCTTTGCACACGCATTACATACAAATGAAAGATATTTGGTAAGCTCCTTTGAGACACAAAAACCTCGTAACTCTAATGCTTTTATTCTCAGATCGCAAGTCTTTTCAAACTTTAGATCGTGTCACCGAGCGAGAAGTAAACTGTGATCGTATCCACAACAAACGTCTATAACTTCTGCGTGTTCTTCCAAGCTGTCCACCAACACAGGCAGATTCTCGTCTCTCGAGCTTCCCAGGCCAAGACGACCATTCCGGCCACACCCCCACGTCCAAACTTGGTGCTTGGACGTCAAGGCCAGCGAATGGACGCGTCCTCCAGCCACCGAGACAACCGGATCGTCTAGTTCTTCCAGCTTTTTTGGAACCGAGCTCGGGCCAGAGCGTCCCAGCTGCGAACCAGACGACCAACCCCAAGTATAGGCAGCCCTCGAGCATCTCTCGACAGCCAACGAGTGGCCCCATCCGGCTCCAATCGCGACTACTTGCTTGCCTTCTAGATCGCCTCCAACGCGGGAGATAATCGGTGAATCCTCGGTGATTTCGCGACCGAGTTGATCGGTGCTGTTGTCTCCAAAGCTAAAGAGTAGACCGCTCTCTGCAAGAACGATAGACAAACGATCTGGCTCGAGGAAGAACGATTTCAATGCTTACCGGAGAGCGCAAGAGAGTGGTCGAGGCCACAGGCAACTTGGATGATCTTGCATGGCTCTGGAAGTTCCACGAGCTTTGGTTCCCACTGCAAGATCGGGGCGTCCTCTTTACGCAGTTGCTCCATCAACATCTTCTCTCCAACGTCGTTGCGATCGAGAGTATTCTTCGAAGGCTGGATCATCGAAGGTTGATCTTGCGGGAGCAAATAGCCGAGACGTCCAGAGTCGTGGTAGCCCCACGAGAATAGCTCGCCATCCATCGTGCAAGCTAGAGCGTGACCCCATCCAAGCGACACCTTTGAGAAGAAAAAGAAGAATTACTCTCGAGGAAGATCAAAGATGTGTGAGAAGGTACCTATAGCACCTGAAGAACACTTTTCCCAGCCAGTGCATGGATCTTTTGTGGAAGTAGCGATCTAGTCACTCCAAGTCCGAGACCAAGCTGGCCTCTCTTGGACGACCCCCACGACCAGAGCGATCCATCCTCGCAAATCGCCATGGACACCACTCCAGACCCCGCTGCCGCTCTAACTCTGGTGGATTCCATTCCCCTCACTCGCTGTGGAGTGATAGTAGCCGCACTGGATCGAGAAAACGCAAGAAAGATGTTTGTTTTTACCAACAAACAAAAGAATGCTTACCTTAGAATGGATTTCTCGCCGCGGCCTAGCTGCCCCTCGTTGTTCCTCCCCCATGCCCATAGCTCGCCGGATTGCGTGAGAGCTAGGGAGTGGTAGTGGCCACAGGCGACGCGCGCAATCGATGGGGGCAGGTCTGGCACTGGGGCCGGCTCAAAGGAATCGTTCGTGAAGGAATGGGGCTGGCCAAGGGCGCCATTGCTGCCATCGCCAAAGCTGTACACCGCCGCGGTGTGGAGCACGCGCCCTAGCACATTCCTCCTCCGCGCCAAACCTATCATCTTCCAAAGCCCTAAACCCTAAACCATTCTCTTCCCATTATACTTTAATTGACAATTGTTTTATTAGGCAGCTTTTTTGCTTATTACCTTACTTTTCTTCCTTATTAGTTTGTTATTATTCTTCTTATGTTAATTTTGAAATTAGCATATCTAGTTGTTGAAGCAGATGTTGTAAATTGGGATGCTATTTCACTTTACAATTATATTAATAGAGATGATATTAACAGAATAGGAAAATCTTTAATAGAGTTGATGGATACAAAAATAGTAGAAACACAAAAATACTATGGCACATTTACTTGGACTGATTATCTCTATTTAGCAAACGAAGTTGTTGAAGTTGGCATTTCGATCTATAGTAAAAAGCCTCATGGCATGTGTAGTATGAGTTTAACAGGAACAGGAGCACCAGGAGAAGAAATTCTAGGAAAACTTAATAGCCTTTTATTAGATGTATTAAAAGAAGCTCGTGTGGGAAATTATGGTTATATAGTTGCTACTTTGAATTTTGTTGGTATCAAATATAAACTTCTAAATACTAGAAGATATAAGAGGCCTAGTACTGAATTTGAAAATAACAATAATATTATGATCAATACCCATAGAAGTTATCTAAATACAGATCTTAATTGTTGGATATACAGGTCTAGTCTTGTGAGTGGTGAAAAATATGATTTAGGATCGTATTAACTCAAATTAAATCTTTTAATTTCTCCATATGGTTATTATGCATTAAGTCTCAATAAAAATTGCAATTTAGTCTTCACATGGAAAATGGAACATGTTTTATGGGAAAGTTTGACTACTAATAAAGGAATTGGTTGCCTGTTACAGTTAGAAACTAAAAAATTAATAATAAAGATATAGAAATATGGTTTTTAAACTTTCATTGTCCAAGCTGTAAATCAACAATACTTTATGTTGAGGATGACGGATTTTTCTACATAATTGGTTCAAATAATAACAAAATTTTGAAACGCTTTCCATAGATAAAAACTAGAAAACAATTGTTTTTTACAATGTGCTTTGAATTTTGGTTTTCTTGTTAAATATGTCTAGAATATGCTTGAACATTTTGAGATATTCTACCATTTAAGGATTGCTATTCATTTAGATTAATCTTGTATTTATAATTTATAAATTCTCATAAACACTTCCTAGTATATTCTAGCTCATTCTACCATTTAATCATATTTAATGTTGTGTTTATAAATTATAAACATGTTTATAATTATAAGCTTACAATTGATCAACTGGATCAATAAATAATACTAAACAAAAATAACACCACTATTAAGAAAATCAAGCACTGCTGCATGCAACATGCAGCAAAATATTTAAAATTTTCTCTAAGAAAATAAAAATTTTATTATATTTTTAATATGAAGTTATTTGTATAAGACTATAATTTTATAAGTTGTAAACTGATTAATACTTGTTAAACCTTGGATAAAAGATAAGAAAACTAAAACTTGTGTGCTTAAGTTCTCATAATAGGTTTTGAGAACTTTGCTGGCAACATAAGTGATAATTAAAAAAAATAGTGATTGCAAACCAATACATTATCATATCAAACTTAAGCAAGAAAAGAGCACAGCAAAGTTCCAACAAGTCCTCTTCACAGAGATTTTCACATGATTTCCATCGCTGGTTGATGGAATCTGATAATCTGACTCTTCGTTTGAAGAGGGTGGCGGGACTGTTCGTGATCCAGTTGGACTTAAAAGAGGCGGTGTTGGTGATGATCCAGTTGATCCACCAGGATATGGCGAAAGAATAGGAGGTGGCGGAGTATAATCAACTGGAGGCGCTGGCGAAGGATATGGGGGCGACAATAGTGGCGTTGGAGGTGCTAGAACCGGTGGCGATACCACAGGAGGACCTACACAAAACACCCCAGAGAACCATCGAGAACTTAGATTTTGAAAGAGAACTTACCGGTGGGGTTGCAAAGATCGATGGTCACTCCGGCCAAGTTACAGAGGCTGGGAAGCGAGAGCGCGAGCGTGATATTGATCCGATTACCCAACTGAGAATTCACGAGCGCGCACAGGCACGCTGGATTCAATTTGACGACCGTTTCCAGGCCATTGCAGCACGGCTGCGTGGGATTGCTTCCCTGGCCCTGCAAGAATGGAAGGCAAGGGAGGAGAACTCCGAGCTTTGGACCGCAGCCTTGGGGAAGCTGCTGCGCGTGGATTTGCTGCTGCTGGGATGATGCCAGGGCCCCCGCAATCGCGAGAAGAATCAGGATCGCCATCGTAGTGCGTCCGCGAAAGAAGATAATCGAGGCAATTGGAAGAAAAGAACTACCAAGAACTGGAAGGAAAACTGGAATTTGGTGAGCCAAAGATCAAAATTCCAGACGGGAATCACGGGCCAACCCATGCCAAACCTCCAGCGTTGACCAGGGCTGGAAATGTGTTATTCGTTTTGCAAATATAAGAATGAAGGCTGCTTTGGTTTTGTCCCTGATGTTTGCTTTTGCCACTCTCTTTGGGTCGAAGGGAGCTTTTGGAAAATGGTGCTGGTGTTTATGACTCATCAGCGGTCCGTTGATGAATCAGCATCATGAAGTTCATCAGCGCGTCCGTTGGAGAATCAGCATCCACATCTCTAATGCACCCTCGGGAGATGGATGATCATCATCATGTTCATGTTCATGAAGATGGAAGTTCTCCAGTCCATGGCTCTCGCAATCACAGGTGGAGCAACAACAATAACAACAACAATGTTTGGAGGAGGAAGTCCATCGATCATGAAGATTCAAAGCAAGGAAGAGGAGAAAAAGTTCAATCCTTTTATGTTCTCATTTGTCAAATCAATAAAAGTTTCAAGAATGTTTTTGTCTCTAACCAATCATCCATTTTTTCCTTTAATGTCAGAAGTGGGATTTGAACCCACGCCCTCGCATGAGGAGCAGAACTTGAGTCTGCCGCCTTAGACCGCTCGGCCATCCTGACAATCTATCCTGTAATCTTGGATTTGGACTAATGGTGCAATTTGTGATTGCATGGACAATGCATGCTGGACCTTGTAACATAATACATAACATAATACAAGCAGAACTTGAGTCTGCCGCCTTAGACCGCTCGGCCATCCTGACAATCTATCCTGTAATCTTGGATTTGGACTAATGGTGCAATTTGTGATTGCATGGACAATGCATGCTGGACCTTGTAACATAATACATAAGCCCTCCAAGCTCCAACCATTGAGAATCAGCTCTCCATCCATCACTACTACTACAACAATGAAGGCTGCTTTGTTGTGCTTTCTATTGTTTTCCTTTGCCACTCTTACATTATCTTCTTCTTCTTCTTCTTTGAGTAAAAGAGAGCTTCTGTCTCTGGAGGATAATGGTGTTGCTGCTCAGGATTTATCAGCAGTAGCACCAGCCTCCAATTCTGATCAAATATATCCTCCAGAGGTGGATGATCATGATCATCAACGTCCTAAGCACATGAAAGGGAGGAAGAACAACAAAAACAACAACAGCATCAACATCAATATCAACATTTGCAATATGGATCACGAAGATTCAAAGCAGAAGGAGGAGAAGAAAAATTTTTAGAGTAGAATTTACAAATGGTAAATCTCATTTTGTAGATCAATAAAATCAATAAGAAATTCTTGCCTTCTTTGACTGGGGCTGATTGTTTTTGACTGGGCTTCTTTGAGAGTTTTCATCCTTCCCGCCCAGGCGGCGTCTCGCGATTTTAAAAACTATTCCCGGATCGACGGCTGGGATTGGCCTGCACGGACCACAGTGGCCACCGCCCTATTGTTTCAAGCTTTTTGTGTGGGCGACTGCGACAGCGTCGGGATTATTGGAGGAGGCGATCCATCGATCGATCCATCCCCGGGCTCGTCACAGGTCTGATCGATCGAGCTCTGTGGCTCACATCGCCGCTCTCGCTTAGCGCCCTGTTTCTAGCGAGTTTCTCCATGGCGGAGGAAGAAATCCAGCCCCTGGTGTGCGACAATGGATCCGGGATGGTCAAGGTGCGCTCCTGGCGCGGTTTCTTGTGGATTTTGATCCGGGGGGTGTGTTCTTGCAGGCTGGATTTGCCGGAGACGATGCTCCCAGGGCCGTGTTTCCCAGCATTGTGGGCCGGCCCAAGCACACGGGCGTCATGGTTGGAATGGGGCAGAAGGATGCGTATGTCGGCGACGAGGCGCAATCCAAGCGAGGTATCCTGGCATTGAAGTACCCGATCGAGCACGGGATCGTCACAAACTGGGACGACATGGAGAAGATCTGGCACCACACTTTCTACAACGAGCTCCGTGTGGCTCCGGAAGAACACCCGGTTCTTCTCACCGAGGCGCCGCTCAACCCAAAGGCGAATCGCGAGAAGATGACCCAGATCATGTTCGAGACCTTCAATGTCCCGGCCATGTACGTGGCGATCCAAGCAGTCCTTTCACTCTACGCGAGTGGACGCACTACCGGTATGGAGTTTTTTTATCCCTTGCTTGTTCTAGACAAGATGGTTGATGCGTGTTTCTTTTCTTCGTTGCTTGCGATAGACATGATGCTTCAAGTTGGTTCTACTTTTGTTTTTCCCTCTAACACGTTGTATGATCGTGGTTTGTGATCAGGTATTGTTCTCGACTCGGGTGACGGTGTCACGCACACTGTTCCAATCTACGAAGGCTACTCACTGCCCCATGCAATCCTCAGGCTGGACCTTGCCGGTCGCGACTTGACTGACTCGCTCATGAAGATCCTGACCGAGAGAGGCTACTCGTTCACCACCACGGCGGAGCGTGAGATCGTGAGAGACATGAAAGAGAAGCTGGCGTACGTCGCCCTGGACTACGAGCAGGAGCTGGAGAGCTCCAGGCAAAGCTCCTCGATGGAGAAGACATACGAGCTTCCGGATGGGCAGGTGATCACCATCGGCTCCGAGAGGTTCCGGTGCCCCGAGGTGCTGTTCCAGCCGTCTCTGATTGGAATGGAAGCCGCTGGTATCCACGAGACGACGTACAACTCGATCATGAAGTGCGACGTCGATATCCGAAAGGACCTCTACGGCAACATCGTCCTCAGCGGAGGCAGCACAATGTTCCCTGGCATCGCGGACCGCATGAGCAAGGAAATCACGGCACTGGCTCCCAGCAGCATGAAGATCAAGGTGGTTGCTCCTCCGGAGAGGAAGTACAGCGTCTGGATTGGAGGTTCTATCCTGGCTTCGCTCAGCACCTTCCAACAGGTACCACAACATTCTTTTGCTCGTTTTTCTTATCAGCCTTGTTTTTCTTTTTCGTTTCTCGCAGATGTGGATTGCAAAGTCCGAGTACGATGAGTCGGGTCCATCGATTGTGCACAGAAAGTGCTTCTAGATCTTGAGGTTGGTCTCCAGGTTGCTATTTTTCCTTCCTTTTCGGTTCTCGGGTTATCTAGGCGCTCTAGATTTTGAAGTCTTGGCTCTTGAGGATCACATGTCAAGTGTGCTTCATTGTTTGCCTTTGATTGACTATAAATATTTAGCTCTCTCGTATTTTGGTGTCCTCTATGGCGTTCCGTCGCTTTGCCAGTCGTGTGCTCGCGTCTAGGGTTTGTAGTGTCCGAGTGGCTAGTCTTCTTTCCAGGAGGTGCTTGGAGGCACCAATTTTCTCCAGTGGGTCGTCGTCATGGAATGGGAAGAGTCAGAGTTTGGCAGCTCTGGGAGCCGCTGGAGTGTTCACATTTGCTTTGGTGGAGCTCGGATTCAATCAGGCTGCCCTTCTGGAGCAGGATGAACAGAAAAGGTACCTCAGTTGCTGGCATTATGGAGCTTTCACTGTAATCTCTCTGGATCGTGCAGTGTAGAAGCTTTAGTGACAACGAAGGAGGCTCGCAAGCTCGATGAATCTTTCATTTCGGAGCTGCAAGCCATCTTCGAGGTAAATAAAATTTTGTATGTCCAGTTTCTTATAGTTCTATCCAGGCCGAGAGAATTGCTTTTGATCCAGATGAAAGGTTCAACCATGGAAAGCCATGGAATACTTATCATCCCGTTAAACACATTCCCGACGTTGTGGTCTATCCAAGGTACAAATTAGTACGTTTTGCGAAAGAGTAAAAAGGCAAATTTCTTTTTTGAAAGGTCGGCCGATGAAGTTCAGGCAGCTGTAAAGCTTTGCGCAAAATACAAGGTCCGCTTTCTTGTCAATGAATGTGTTTTGATATTTGGTGGATAGGTTCCAGTTGTTCCTTTTGGAGGGGCTACTTCTCTAGAGGGACAAACACTGACTCCCTCTGGCGGTGTTAGCATTGATATGCAGTTGATGAAGGTTTGGCTTCAATTGTTTCTCTCTTCTCCTAAGTTTTTCTTTGAACAGAAAGTAAAAGCTTTGCATATTGAAGATATGGATGTGGTTGTAGAGCCAGGACTCGGATGGATTGAACTGAACGAGTTTCTAAAGCCTTACGGTTTATTTTTCCCACTAGATCCAGGTAAGTTTACGTTTCACTTGTATCCGAAATCCATTAGTTTATGTCAGGTCCGGGAGCTACAATTGGAGGAATGTGCGCAACCAGATGCTCGGGTTCGTTGGCAGTTCGGTAATAGTTTTGACAGTCCAGTTAGTGCTCATTTCCTGAATCACGTGATTATTAGTTATGGCACAATGCGGGACAACGTGATATCCTTGAAAGTATGCTTGGTTGGGCATTTAGTTTTCTTGTATTGATGGTTTTCTGTACTATAGGCAGTGGTGGCAAATGGAGACCAAGTTAAATCGGGATCTCGTGCGCGCAAAAGTGCCGCCGGGTAGTTTCTTAGATGTACCTCGACTGTTGATGGGCTAAGCTTGATCTCCCAGGTATGATTTAACGAGACTTATGATTGGAAGTGAAGGAACGCTGGGTGTCATTACGGAGGTTACGCTGCGTCTTCAAAAAATTCCCGAAGCCTCAATTGTAAGCTTCAGAGCCTGTCTGAATTATTCACAGTGTTTGCTGCAGGTGGCCATGTGCAACTTTCCTTCCGTAAAAGATGCAGCTGATGTTGCGATAGCTACGATGCATTTGGGAATCCAGGTATTCATGCATTCTCCAACTTAAGCGAAGTGGCCTTCCAATCTCTGCAGGTGTCACGGGTTGAGCTCTTAGATGAGATGCAAGTAAAAGCAATTAATCTTGCGAATGGAAGGAATTATCCTGAACAACCAACGCTTATGTTCGAGTTTATAGGAACAGGTATTCTTCTACTTAATGTTTAGTTATGAATCCTAAGAATTTCTCATTGCAGAAAACTATGCTCTCGAACAGGCAAAGCTTGTCCACAAAATTGTTGTGGAACACAGTGGTTCTGATTTTGTCTATTCAAACACGCCGGAAGAAAAGGAGGATTTGTGGAAAGTAAGCAAGAACTTTGTTCAGCCGCGTTTATTCCGACTCGTTTGAAATTTCAGGTTCGGAAAGAGGCTTTCTGGGCTTGTTCGACGTTGAGACCTGGAGCAGAGGCCATGGTCACTGTATGTGGAGCTTTCTTTTCTACTTTGTATTGAATTGTCAATTGCCACAGGACGTCTGTGTTCCTTTGTCGAGGCTAGCGGAGTGCATCTCCACGTCAAAAGAAATACTTGATGCGTCCGCACTTCCAAGGTAAGGAAATTCCCGGATATATTTGGTTCAAAGGTTTGCTTTGCAGTGCTATAATTTCACATGCTGGCGATGGGAACTTCCACACAGTGATCCTGTTTGATCCGGCCAACAAAGACGAGGCCGAAGAAGCTCAGCACTTATGTCATAAGATGGTGCACATAGCTTTAGCGATGGAAGGTTGAGAACTCAGGAAATTGTATCTGTTTTTCATCATATTTGTTTATCTTTCAGGAACTTGCACTGGGGAACACGGAGTAGGCGTCGGCAAGATGAAGGTATGTATACCTTCGTTCTTAGCACGAGTGGCTGAAGTTCGTGTGCAGTACTTAGAGGCCGAGTTTGGAAGCGAAGCGCTGTCTGCCATGGGAAAGATTAAAAAGTGCCTCGATCCCGACAACATTATGAATCCTGGGAAAATTATTCCGCGACAATTCTGCTGCTAAGGCGTCTGTGGTACAAGGAAGTTTTATTATAATCTCAATAACTTCGTTTCTTTTCTGAGTGCTCGCCCTAGGTTATAGAATGCAAGAAGGCGCACCTTCGAGAGCGTAAGTCCAACAATGCATTTTCATGGTCGCTACGCCTCTGCGGTGTTTCACTCTAGGACAAGCTGTAAGTGTGCTGCTGCTTTTCCTTTGCGTTTAAACAGTGCGCTTGTTAAAGCAGTGGAAGATCTGGAGATGGAGTTACTTCACTCCCGAGCTCGCATCAACCACCAGAAGAAGAGACTGCGGCATTGCCATCGCTGCTCTAAAGGCATGCGGCAGCTCCATGGATCTCACACTTGGGCAGTTCGTCCACGCAGATACCGTCCAGTTTGGTTTGAGCTGCGACATTTACGTGGCCACAACACTCGTCGACATGTACGCGAAGTGTAGAAATATGATCCAGGCACAGCGAGTTTTTGACGCAATGCAGTCACGCAACGCAGTCGCTTGGACAGCTTTGATCCTCGGGTATGCCGAAAATGGCCAGGGAGAAGTTGGCTTGGAGATCTTATCCAAGATGAGAGACTGCCGCTGCCAGGCCGACTCAACGACGTTTCTCGCGGCTCTCAAGGCATGCGGCGACATAGCTGCCAGGGAACAGGGCCGGAAGATCAATGGCAGGCTTGTGCGAGAGGAAAGCTTGACGAAAGCTTGCGAAATCCACGGGCGAGCTGCCGAGGCTGGCTGTGACTCCCACCCCTTCGTCGCCAACAGCTTGATAAGTTTATACTCGAGGTGCGGAGGAGTGGAGCAAGCTCTCTCGGTTTTTGAGAAGCTCGAGAAGAAGACGGTGGTCTCGTGGACTGCTCTCATGCTGGGTTGCGTCGAGAACGGCGAAGCCGAGCTCGCGCTGGATCTCTTCTCGAGGATGGACTCGGTCTCGGATGCTCAGGCCTACGTCGCGGCTCTCACAGCCTGCGCGAGCGTGTGCGAGAAGTCGAGGCTGGATGGAAGCTCTAAACTCCAGGCACTGGAACGAGGCATGGCGATACATTCCTCTGCCGCTCGCAGTGGCCTCGACTCCACCACCAACGTCTTCGTCTCCAACACTCTGGTGGACATGTACTCCAAGTGTGGAAGCTTGCTGGACGGCCGCGCGGTGTTCGACCGCATGAGCTCCCGGGACGTGGTGTCGTGGAACGCGCTGCTGCTGGGATACGCCGAGAACGGCGAGCCGGGCTTGGCTCTGGAGCTCTTCGAGGCCATGAAGCAGCATCACCATCCTACTGCTCGGACGTTCCTCGCGGCTTTCATCGCCTGTGGCAACTTAGCGGCACTGCAACTCGGGAGGAGCATCCACGACGAGCTACGCAGGAACCATCGCCAGCTCCTCGACAGCGATCCTTTCCTGGGGAATTGCATCATCGACTTCTACGGGAAGTGCGGCAGCATGGCCGAGGCCAGGGAGGTGTTCGAGGCGATGGTGGAGAACAGACGCTGGAGGAAGGACGTGGTGACTTGGGGGGCTCTCATGGCCGGTTACAGCCACCAGGGGGACACTTCCAGCGTGCTCGAGCTTTTCGAGAAGATGGTGGCGGAGGAGAGGATCCAGCCGGACGCCGTGACGTTCCTCTCGATCCTCACGGTTTGCAGCCATGCCGGGCTGGTCGACCAAGGTAGGCACTACTTTGCGGAGATGAGCTCGCGGTATGGAGTGACGCCCGTCCAGGAGCACTACCACTGCCTGGTGGATCTTCTCGGGCGATCAAACCGGCTGGACGAAGCGCTGGCGGTGGTGAGAGCTATGCCGTTTCCAGCCAGCGTCATCACCTGGAGCACGCTGCTGGGAGCTTGCAAGAAGTGGAAGAACGCCGAGGTGGGAAAGTTTGCGTTTGATTCGTGGCTAAGGCTGGACGAGAAGAACGCCACTGCGTATTTGCTCATGGCAAGCACCACCTCTTAGAACAATTGTTTGCTAATTAATTCTCGACCGTCAGATCTCCCACGACTCAATCGACACCGTGAGTACGTTTGCAAATTCTTCACCGTCGATCTCCCGGCACCGTGATTAAAATTCTGGTACGTTTGCAAATTCTCGACCGTTAGATCTCGCGCTCTTGAGTTGCAAAGGATATTCTTTCCCATTGCAAAGAATATTCTGTTTAGACACGTGACAAGAAAGGTCGGTGTGCTGTTAGTATATAAATCGTGGCTATGGCGCCACAGCTATGGCGCGCGCGCGAGGTAATGTGGAGGATATTGATGTGGAATTGACTTGGCATAGCTAAGGTATGTCGGGATCTCGCCTGGTTCCCTTGGAATCTACCACATCTCATCGCAATTGCTTCTCAAATTCCCCCTTCTCGCATCTTCCTCCTTGAATTCCTTTCTCGCGGTGGAAATTTTCTTCCCCGCTTTTGATCTGAGAAAGGATGTATGGCTATGGCTGTACGAGGATAGGGGAGGCCCTGCCCTTACGGGTGCGCTCACGGGGCGGGCCTCCAAATCGAGTGGAATAAAATCGGCTCTTTGTGTCGTGGGAGGGCCGCCAGAGTGAGAATTGGTGCTTGGCGGCCCTCCCCCTTGGTCTCGTGTGTCGCCCACTCTCTCTTTTCCCCAGTGGTTCCATGGCTCTGGCCGGATCAAGCAAGGAGTTGGGCGATCTGGAACTTGGGCGAGTTCTAGAATTGATCTAACGAACTTGGGCGAGTTCTAGAGTGGATCTAGAATCGTTTTGAAGCAGCGAGGACATCTTCCGCGTGGAATGGAGAAGGGGAGCGTTAGATCCACTGGTAAAAACTATTTCTTTGGAATTGTTTTCTCAAGAGCAAAAGAAATTGGAGCTTTCTTTGAATGAGTTTCTCAAATGCGTTTGATGTTACCGCAGGCCTCTTCGATCGATCGGTGGGGATTGCGAAAGCAAAGACTTTGACCAAAATCTCGGCCAGAGAACCAAAGTTTGACCTTTCAACCATTAGAAAATAAAAATCTGAGATGCTTTCAATCTTGGCCGTCGGCGCCCGTGAACCGCGGATAGTGACAGTTGGTATCAGACGGTTGCGATTTCGCTCCGGGAAGAGACGCGCAAACAAAATGGAAGAGAAAAGAAAGAGAAGAGCGATGCGATGAAGATGATAGCATTGGCATGCCACGAGAAGAATGCCAATCACAGCAGCAGCATGGTGGATCGTTACTGGACATCGTCGCTCGTGATCTGCCCCTTCGTCGACTTCGCATTGGCCTGCCTCGTCCTGGCGATGGCGACGCTGTTCCTCGTCTCGAGGATGACGCAGCTTTGCAGCAGCCTGGCCTCGTGCTGGTCGGGAACAACAGCCGCGGAAGAACACGATCGCTGCCAAGAGCACCACTCGTTGTCCCAGGACAATGATCACCTGCAGCAACAAGTTACTCGCTACGAATCGCAGGAGAGCACGCGAAGTTGTCTCACCTGTGATCGAAGCGGAAGGCTGGAGGGGATTTGTATCAGCTGCATCATGCGGGTGCTGGGACCTCGAGCGCAGGAATCCAGCGGCGGGAGTAGTGGGTTGTTCTTGCAGGAGATCATGATGGACGCGGCGGCAGCGGCAGATGGTAGGAACCTGGTCACTGTTTCATCTCCTCCGGCTTGTTCGTCGAGCGATGGCTTAAGGCGGCACGTAGAACTGCTGGTGGACAAGCTCCAGCTGAGGATCACGTCGTGTCCGCCGGATCGAGAGCAGCACCAAAAGGCTCCTTCTCGGACTTCTTCTCGAGCTTCTCCTTCTCGGTCTTCTCCTTCTCGTTGCGAGTGCTTGAGGCGGGAGGGACATGGCAAGGAGAGGTGTGACTGCTCAAAAGGCCCAGTTTGCAGGGGAGCTTGCGAGTGCTGGAGGACGCTGGGGCGGGAAGACCATGGCGAGAGCTTGGATCCACACCAAGATGAGAGCTTTTCATCGACTGGTGATCGTCCCGCCAATGCGGAAATCCACCAGGAACAGGAAGTTGACGGAAAGGAGGCATTGAAAGGCGAGAGGGAGGAGATCGAGAGCCTCTACTACGAGCTGGAGCAAGAGAGGAACGCGGCGGCGGTGGCTGCCAATGAGAGCATGGCCATGATCACGAGACTCCAGGAAGAAAAGGCTTGCTTGCTCATGGAGGCGCGGCAGTACCAAAGGATGGTGGAGGAGAAGGCTTTCCACGACCACAAGGCGATCACTATACTCAAGGAGATGCTGCTCAAGAGGGAGGCCGAGAAGACGGTGCTGGAGGAGGAGATTGAGATCTACAGGCGATCGAGCAGGAGTGGCAATGGGCAAGAGCACAGGGAGGAGGAGGCCCCGGGTGGTGGTGGAAGTGGCGGCGAGAAGAGGAAGAGCTCGAGCGAGGAGGAGACGTCCGCCACCATCAAGGCCGTGGAGGAAGAGCGTCTCTCGGTGCTGGAGCGAGTGAAGAGGCTGGAGCAGCAGCTCCAGCTCTTGCGAGGGAACGAGAGCACTCATCCGGGCCACCGAAGATCATCCAGGCCCGGATAGCATCGATCGAAAGTCCTGGAGAGAAAATTTTCCTCGTCAGGAAGGAATGCTATGGAATTTCTTGCTTACCCGGAAAGAAGGCTCTCGGTAGAGATCGTCCGGAAGGAATGCTATGGAATTTCTTGCTTGCCCGGAAAGAAGGCTCTCGATCGAAGGCCCTGGAGAGAAATTTTACCTCGCAAGGAAGGACTGCTATGGAATTTCTTGCTAGAAGGCTCCCGATCGAAGGTCCTGGAGATCGTCAGAAAGGAATTTCTTGCTTGTTCGGTCCTGGAGAGATTGTCAGGAAGGAATGCCATAGAATTCCTTGCTTAATGCTATGGAATTTCTTGCTTACCCGGAAAGAAGGTGAGATCTTTGTACCGGAGCCACAAATTTCTTGATCGATCCCAAACCAGGAGCGCAAGAAATCCTGGAATCGAGAAATGCGAGTCTGCCATAGGTTTGCTATGGAAAATGAGAGATCTACCTCACGGGAAATCGAGGAGTCGCTGGCGCCATAGCCACTCCACCTGGACAAAAACCCTAAAACCCTAGCCTAGCATATAATATTTTGCTCACACCATTTGGCTGTTCGTGTTCTTTCTAGCCGGCAATGGCGTTGGCACTGGCCAAGGCCTCGCACCACCGATTCCTCCTAGCAGCGGGCTTGCGATTCTCCTCTAGCGCGCCAGCTCCATCCTCTCCTGTGCCTCCGCCTCCATCGCCCGCGCAATCCAGCGCCGAGCAGCTCAGATCGGGGCCTGTGGCCGCGTCCCTGGCCGCGGAGAGAGCGATCCGGGAGGGCTCGCGGACGGATTGGAGGCGGCAGGAGATCCAGGAGATTTACGACTCGCCGCTGCTCGATCTTCTCTTCCATGGGGTAAAGCTTTCTAGACATGCATGGCAAAAGGTTCTCATCGCTAGTTTTCTTCTTTTTTTCTTCTTCTTCGCGACAATGTAGGCTCAAGTCCATCGCCATGCTCACAATTTTCGCGAAGTCCAGCAGTGTACGCTGCTATCGATCAAGACTGGTGGATGCTCTGAGGATTGCGCCTATTGTCCACAGTCTTCCAGGTATAGCACTGGTGTGAAGGGACAAAAGCTCCTCAGTGAAGACGTTGTTCTTGACGCTGCTAGAAAGGTGAAAGAATTTCTTTTTTCTTTGTGGCTGGATTGTTTCATACTTTTTTTTTTCTACGCAGGCTAAAGATGCTGGTAGTACCAGATTTTGCATGGGCGCGGCTTGGAGAGACACAGTGGGAAGAAACACGAACTTCAATCAAATACTCGACTACGTGAAACAGATCAGGTGTGGATCATTCACTCTTTTCAAGAATTCTATAGCTAGTCGTGTCTTCACTTTCGATTCTTTTTGGCTATGCGAGCAGAGGTATGGGAATGGAAGTTTGCTGCACGCTTGGAATGCTCGAAGAAAAGCACGCCCAAGCTCTCAAGGAGGCCGGCTTAACAGCCTATAATCACAACTTGGATACGTCGAGGGAGTATTATCCAAACGTTATAACCACGAGGAGCTACGACGAGCGCCTGAAAACTTTGGAAATTGTCCGAGACGCGGGCATAAGCGTGTGCTCAGGCAAGCTTTCTCTTTTTCTTCCGCGTTTTTTTTCTCCATGAAACTAGCTAAAACTATGGCTGAAACATCAGGTGGGATCATTGGTTTAGGAGAGCAAGTAGAGGATAGAATAGGCTTGCTACACACTCTTTCGACGCTCCCTCAGCATCCAGAGAGTGTCCCAATCAACGCTCTAGTTGCTGTCAAAGGCACTCCTTTGGAAAATCAAAAGGTAACTCTTCTCGTTCCATCAAAGCTTTAAACTCGAGAATTTCTCTCCTTGTGTTTCTACAGCCGGTTGAGATATGGGAGATGGTCAGAATGATCGCCACAGCTCGGATTTGCATGCCCAAGGCGATGGTGAGGCTCTCGGCGGGGCGAGTAAAGTTCTCTCAGCCGGAGCAGGCACTGTGCTTCATGGCTGGCGCAAACTCCATCTTCACAGGCGAGAAACTTCTGACCACTCCAAACAACAGCTTTAGCGAAGACCAGCAGATGTTCCAGCTCCTGGGACTCATTCCAAAGCCGCCAAGCTTTGGAATTGAGATCCAGCGAGATCAAAAGTGTGGATGTGCTCAACAAAACTCTGGAGACCTTCTCCAGCAGGCGGTATAACATTGTGATGAGGAAGAAGATATAGTTCCACGATAAGCAATTGAAACAAAAGAGCTTTGTCTCGATCGAGGAAGAACTATCCATTATTTTCTTTGCTCTTTATGTACACTGCTAATCACTGGCAAAAAAACTATAGCTACGTATATACTTTCTTACTTGGACGAGACCCAACCTCGAAAAACTTGTGTTCTCACGGCGCCATGATCGAGTCTATCGTATACGAGAGCGAGGTCGCCATATTACTCTGCAAAACCAGGCTTTGAAGAGTTTCCATGATGTTATACTCGGGGTCTAGCTTTCGCTGCCATCCCTGCGCAAAGTGGTCCATGAATTTGCATCCCTTGGAGCTAACTCTTTAAAGAACGCCTACCTCTAGAACGAGTGTCGTCACTATCACAGTGCAAACATCGCCATCGATGTTTACTTTGTGCCTGCGTACGCGCTCCAAGAGCTCTTGTATGCAGTCGCCCGTGTGCAGTACAGCAGAATCCATCGCATTCCAGTCTTTGAAACAGTCCTCGACTTCCTGTTGCAAATGAGGAAACGATGAGGATACAAAACGATCAAACCAACGAGCTAGAACTTACTCTGACAAAACCTTTTGGATCGGGGCAAGTTTGCAGCTCCGAGAACTGGAGAGCGCACTCCGCAGTCTTGCGGCCGTCTCGCATTGCGATCCCCTTGAAAAACTCGAGGAGCGTGCGCCGGTCCTTATTCGAGAGCTCTGCTGTCATGCCGACGTCCAGAAAAACTAGATGCGGATGCGATCGAAACAGTCCCTTGCCAGGCACGGGATTAAATCGCTCCATTCGCACCAGGATGTTGCCAGGATGCAAGTCTGCATGGATGAAGTTGTCCACCTGTGAAATGCCAAAACAGTGAGAAAAGAAAAGAAAAGAATAGAAAAGATAACCAGAGAAGACGTACCAGCAGCATCTTGAGCAGCGTGTGCGTGCCAATGTGTGCCAACGCGCTGTTGATGTGGGATCTCTTGGGAGAATCCACAAAGCGCGATACGCTCTCCCCGCGCTCATACGTCTCCACGAGCACGGCCGGGTGGACGAGGGGATACAGCGGCTTGGGAAAAGATACGTCCTTCCAGCTCCGAAAGTTGTAGAGAAAGCGGCTCAAATGCGCAGCTTCTCTCGCGAGATCGACCTGCGTCAGCATGAACACGGCGAACTGCTGCACGCTGTCCTCCAGCCTCAGATACCGTAAGCCGGAGAAGTGATTGCACGCTTTCACCACCCAGTTGATGAGAATGAAATCACGCCTTATCACTTCTGTGACTCCCGGATGCCGGACTTTGACAGCTACCGTCACCGGCTTCTTCCCCTGGCCCCTCAAAACCGCGCGGTGGACCTGAGCAACACTCCCGGACGCCAGCGGCTCCTCCTCAAAGTCCTCAAACAGCTCCTCGATCCTCTTCCCGAAAGCGCCCTCCACAGTTTTCCGGGTCTGCGAGAAGCTGTGCGCCGGAGCTTTCGAGTGGAGCTTGGACAGCGTCTCGCACACGTCCTTGGGAAAAAGGTCCGGCCTTGTGGCTGCCCACTGCCCCCACTTGATAAAAGCGGCCCCTGCTCGCTCCAGACTGCTGTGAAAAAGCTCCAGCCAGAAAAGCCGCAGCTTGGCGTCTGACGGGTCGGCAAATGGAGCTACAGCGAGCGCTGGAGCGAAAACCACCACCAAGTACAGCGCTCGAAGCAGCAGCATCATTCCTTCCACCAGCGACGAAAAGATCCACAGCACGTAACTAGGCTGGATATCGGAGTGGTACGAGAGAGGAACACACGTCGGAGCCTCGGACTCGGCCACCAGCCTGCGCATGAGCGTAGCTTCGCCGACCAGAAAAGCTGCGATCCTGGGACTAAACTGCGAGCGAACGACTGCCAAGCTCATCGTCCCCACGACTTTCCATAGTGGATGATGGTAGTAGCATCTTCCCAGCCAAGAATTCTTCCAGGCTCTCCCTGTGCCTCTCCCGAGCTTCCACCCGGCAAAGCCAGTCCCTTTCTTCTTCCAGCCATCCTTGAATTCTACTCCTGTTCTAGAGAAACCAAAGACTATCCTATTCCCGCCGTGTCTAGCCAGATTCCTCGAGAGTACCTGGAGAGGACTGGCAGCTGCTTCTTGCGAAAGAGTTCCATAGTGATGGTGTCCATATCCAATCCGAGAAAAACTGGAATTGGACCAAGTTCTACCAAAAAAAGCATCAAAATCGAGTCTTTAGGTGAAAATGCGGCAAGAATCCATACCTGTGGCAAGCTCTTCTCTCACAGGCAGCTCGGGCAGCCCCGGAGAATAGCCTGTTCATCCTCTGCGCGAGGCCGATGGATCATACTCTACCCAAAATACCGCTGCTCGCGATCAGAATCCGGGAAATGTAGCGCCAAATCAATCCACCGGCCGATCGATTCCACGAGCCACGCGCCACACGCTCAAACCCTAGAATGCCCCGGGTTTAGGTTTGCTTGGCACGTGGAGGGTTCGAATCCCGCGAGTTTTGCACACTGCTAAAGGGATTCGATCCCTGGATCGGGCAAGAACCAAAGAAACCCTAAAAAGTTCGTTGTTTGATAGGAGATGATGGAGTGAAGGCCATGCTTGGTGAGTACCAGACAAGAACACACAGCGACAGTGATAATTGAGCCTCTTTTTACTTCACGCAACGATATCTCTCTCGATTCCATCATCGATCGAATTGCAAGCCATTTCTTTTCCGAAATAAAATATTCGTTATTTTTCTTGTTACAAAAATACTTCGGGAAAATACAAAGCCAACGAACGCTTGCATCAATCGATGAAATTTTTGGTGAAACGTTTGCATTGCACGCACAGCGTAGGACTGTCCTTGTCAACGAAGGGGGAATTGACCACCTTGGGTGATCCTGGGTTCGAATCCTCTTTGCGCCAAGGTGAAAAAAAGTCACGTTTTTAAGGCTTTTTCTTACTGTCATAACATTTAACTTTGACTCAGAAATCCTGTGGACAAGGCATGTGCAAGAGCATGTAAAAATTTGGCTAGAGAAATGCAAGCCCAAGTTCCTGGGAGTGTGACATGACCAATGTTGACAAGATTGGGATTTTACTGGTCTTGTATGACATGGGGCACGGCGAATTTTGAGGGAAGAACATAAAAATTGGAGGGGAAAAGAGTGGGAAATGTGGAGATAGGGCTTTGGATTCTATAGCCCAAGATTTAGATATGCAATGGTGGCTTTCTTTTGTTGTTTTGTGTTGGTAGGCTTTCAGTGTCAGGGGTGCTGGTACTGGCTTATGACATAGGCATGCTAAATCCGGAAGGGTCCGGCTTATGACATGCGGCGCTGACTAAATCCCCTGATTTTCCCCTGGTGTTCAAGGTAAAAACGCACAAAGTTAGTCCATTTCTATCTCCATTCATTCATGGCTGCTACTTTGCTGCATCAAATGCTGTAAAACCCACGCCTTGGGCAAGAACGAGTAACGCTCGGTAAGAAAAAAATGGGAATTTTCAAGTTTTTCTGCTTAAAAATCGTTTTTTTCCTGCTTTTCTTTTTGGGTTTTAAGCTGGGTTCATGTTTGTTTAAGCTTTGATAGAGGCGAGAGACAGTGATCGACAACAAAGGGGGCTTTCAGAAGCTGGGCAGCAGCGCGCAGTGCAGTGGCAGTGGCCAGTGTGTGGCGATCAAATCAAACGCAGCGAAAAGAATCGAGCTAAACAGCCCATGACGAAAACAAAGGAAGGAGGAGGAAGAAGATATCGTATGCTCTAAAACTCCAATGCGTGCCTTGTGTATGTTGTGATAGCTTTGTTTCTAGCTAGCGAGCTTCTTCTAGTTACATAGTCTTCTTCATAGATCTTATTTTCTCTCTTATCTTTTGTTCCTTTTTTTCTTTTTTTCTGCCTGTGGGTTTTGTCTATTCTTCCTTTCTCCGCAGTGTTCCAAAATCAGTGCAATGCATTTCTGGCAATAGCAGCGTTCGTGAATGCCAAAGATCTGTCCCAAAGGCAGAGTTTTTTCTCCTTTTTTTCTTATCTCCCTGGTCGATGGTGTCACCACCACTTGCGAAAAGAAGGGTCTACCAGACCACCCAGTGCTACATTCTCAAATCTAAGCTTCTATTCCAAAGTGGAGATTATTTTTGCCTCTAGCTTTGCAAGCTTGCTGGCTATGGTGGTCGGTTAAGCTCTCCGTGTTGGTATTAACTTGGGTGTGTTTTTCTTGCCTTCCTCTTTCCGCCCTTTGCTTTGCAGTGGACAGAATTTTTATTTTTCCTCTCTCCCTCTTTTTTTTGCTCCTTTTTCTCTTCCACTTTATCTTTGAGACTCCGCTGCTGGGCTTTATTACTCTCCTCTCCTTCCTGGTTTGAATGCGCGAGAAGGAAATGAGAGTGAATGTGAATGGGCTGCTAGAAGAATGAGAGACCCATAGATTCAAAAGGGCTTCCTTGGTTGCGAGAGATCTGCGAGAGACGAGGAAGAACACTCACTCAAATCTCCATTTTTTGTGCGCTATCGCAGGTCGCTGTTTGAGGTACCACTGGAAGAAACAAGAAAAAATGGAGCCTTTGTGAGCGCGCGAGTGTGACAATCGTAGTGGTGTGGGTGCCAAGGTAAGCATCAATCCCACTGTACGTGGGTGGTTCTCTCTCATTCATTGTCACAATGCGTTAGAAGGAAGAACTAAGAACTGAGAGCTACAAAGACCCACCATAGCCGCCCATGCCTTCGATCACACAGGCCCAGATGGTGGAATCTACGTGTGGATCTTTGCTGCGGGAGCTCCAGGTACGAGAGGGCTGTAGCGATGGATTCGTGATGGGTTTGTTCTTCTTGCAGCACATATGGGATGAGATTGGAGAGGATGACACAGAGCGGGATAGAATGCTAATGCAGCTGGAGCAAGAGTGTCTCGAGGTGTATAGGAGGAAAGTAGATCAAGCCAGCCATGTCCGGGCAAAGCTCCGCCAAGCTCTAGCCGACTCCGAGGCCGAGCTCCAGACTCTTCACTCGGCTCTTGGAGAACATCCAACTTTCACTCGAGTGAGTTCTTCTATGTTCTTTGGCAAAAGTGTGGTTTTGTTTTTCATTCTTTTGCTTTTTCCGCTGTTTCTTCGTGCTCGTGTGCTTATCTTGGAACTTTGCTCTCAGGGTGAGAAGAAAGCCTCTGGAACTTTGCGGGAGCAGGTTAAAGGAGTGGCTCCTCAGCTGGAGGAGCTGCGAGTGAAGAAGGACGAGCGGCTTAAGCACTTCAACGAAATCTCGTCGCAAATTCAGAAGATATCCGGCGAGATCGTTGGCTCCGCGACTTCCCAGCTCGCAAACGGAGACATTAAAGCGGAGTTTGAGGATTTGTCGCAGCGGAGGCTCGAGGAGTACCAAGCCCAGCTCCATGCACTCCAGAAAGAAAAGGTTGGCTAGCATTGGATTTCCAAAGAGCTTAACGAGAGTTTTTGCCTTTCACCGCAGAGCAACAGGCTTCACAAGGTTCTCGAGTACGTGAACAGTGTGCACGACCTCTGTGCCGAGCTGGGCCTCGAGTTCTTCAAGATCATCACCGAAGTTCACCCGAGTTTGGATGACTCCCACAGCGTGCAGTCGAGGAGCATCACCAACGAGACGCTGGATCGGCTGGCCAACACGATCCAGTCACTCGAGGAAGAAAAGAAGCGCCGGATCAAAAAGGTCTGGATTTCTTTGAAGTTCATGGAAGTGATCGTATGATCATCTTTTCTTTTGCTTCTAGCTGCAAGAACTTGGGACGAAGCTCGTGGATTTGTGGAATCTCATGGAGACACCAAAGGAAGAACAGCAGCTGTTTAGACACCTCACTTGCAACGTCGCGAGCTCCGAGTGTGTTCCTGGATCTCTTGCGTTTGACATAATCGAAGAGGTACTAGCGTAAACAATCTAGACAAGAACTTTCAACTCAAGATCATCGTTTTCTCTCGTTTGTTCTTGTAATGATCTAGGCGGAGGTGGAAGTCGAGAGGCTGGAGCGTCTCAAAGCGAGCAAGATGAAAGAGCTGGTGATGAGAAAGAGGCTGGAGCTCGAGGAGATTTGCCGGCAGACTCATATGGAGCCGGATAACAGCACCTCGCAAGATAAAACCAATGCTCTCATCGATTCTGGTAGAGTATTTGTCTCGTTTTTTCTCTCTCGTTGCTTGATGAAGTTTCACGACAGGTATGGTGGATCCATCGGAGCTCTTGTCAAGGATAGAAGAACAGATCGCCTACGCGAAAGAAGACGCTGTTAGCCGGCGAGACATTCTTGACAAAATCGAGAGATGGATGGGAGCTTGCGAGGAGGAGAGCTGGCTGGATGACTACAACAAGGTGTGTTCTTTTAGTCTCTATGCTCCCAAGAGCTTGAAAAACTTCACAATGTGGTTTTTCTAGGATCAAAATCGGTATGCTGGTGGTAGAGGCGCTCATCTTAATCTCAAGCGTGCCGAGCGAGCTAGAGTCACCGTTACGAAGCTCCCTGGTAGAAAAAAAAACGTTTTTTTTTCGCTTGTTTGTGATAAGTGCATTGATCGATCTCGCTGCACAGCTCTTGTGGAGTCTTTGATTGCAAGGACGAGGTCTTGGGAGGAAGAAAGAAGCCAACTTTTCATGTACGACGGGGTAAGTTCTTCCAACTTCGAACTTTGTTTCCAAGCTTTCTGGAAATTTTCCATTCCTTCAACTCCTTGTTTCAATTTTTGTATAGAGGTCTCTTGCTTGCTCTAAAAGAATGTTTTTTTTTTTTTTCTCTCTTTTTTGTTCCACAGGTGAGATTACTGGCAATGCTGGAAGAATACAACCTCTTGAGGCACGAAAGGGATGAAGAGAAGCGGCGAATGAGGGTACGCAAAACTTTCTCGTCACCAATGCTCTCCATTTGATCGCTCCCCATCGGTTCTCTTCCAGGATCAAAAGAAGCTCCAAGACCAACTTCTCACCGAGCAAGAATCCATCTTCGGCTCCAAGCCCAGCAGCACGCCGCGAAGCAGCAGCATCAAAAAGGCCCAGCCCCGGAGCAATGGGATGATGAGTAGAAGGCTCTCCCTGGGCGGAGCTCTCCTCCAGCCCGTGAGCCCCGAGACCCCTCGCACAAATGGGCACCGGCTAAGCACTCCGGGAGGAAACAATCGCAGGGATTCCAGGCCTCTCGCCACTGTCCCTCTAAATTTTGTCGCGGTGAGCAAGGACGACAGCCACAGCTCTCATTCCTTCCCATCGGTTGCGAGCTCGGATCCCAATTCCCCGCAGTCCAAGTAGACCCGCAGTTCCCCTGTTCTTCGTTCTTCTTGGTTTTAGGGTTTATCCTCTTGTCAGTTTTTAACTGCTTTCGGTGAAATCTCCATCTCGCCGGACTCGAGCCTGGGACCAGTGAAACCCCTCCTTAGGGTTTATAAAGTTTTATTCTCTTCCTCGCGGGCGATGGCGATGGCGTCCCCGTCTTGCTCGGTCCGGATTCTCAGCGGCGTCTGGCGCGATAGGAGCGGACGATTCTCTCGCAAGGTGCGAAGGATCTCGCATTGCTTCAGCAGCAGCGCCAGCACCGCCAGCAGCACCGAGGTTTCTCGGATTTCAAGGATTTCCAAGAATGCTGGCGATGCAGGCGAGGATTCGGCATTGGCATCGGGCAGGGACGTGCGGGGATTGCGCCTGAAGAAGGTAATACCGGTGTTTGTCCTGGAGGTGAAAATTTTACTCGATCCAGGTGGAGGAAATGCGAGGCCTAGGCATCGAGCCTTATGCGTATTCCTGGAATCGGACACACAAAGCCACGCAGCTCCAGGAGAAATACGCTGACTTACCCGCAGGAGGGGTGGCGGATTCGGACGAGGATCGTGTGTCTGTGGCTGGCCGGATTTTTGCTCGCCGAGCGTTTGGAAAGCTCGCTTTCTTGGGAATCCGAGATGATTCGGCTTCTATCCAGGTACCGATCTTTCATGGTTGCGACTTATTTCTATTGTCTTTCTTCCAGCTCTATTGTGACAAGGCAAAACTTGAGAGTTTCACTCAATTAAAATCCACGGTTGACATTGGTGATATTGTCGGCGCCACAGGAACTTTAAAACGAACTGAAAAAGGTGTGTATACTTTTCTGGCAGTGAAAAGATTGAAGAACTGAGCTGCATTGTTCCTTTTCCTTAGGAGAGCTCTCCGTATATGTGGATAACCTGGTGATTCTTACGAAATCAATCCTTCCATTACCCGAGAAGTGGCACGGCCTAACAGACATTGAAAAGCGATACCGTCAGAGGTTTCTGGGTGGGCTTTCTCCTTTCTGTAAGCTGACTAATCATAGAAATGTCTTCCAGGTATTTGGATATGATAATGAATCCCGAAGTAGCTGGTGTATTCCGAGCCCGTGCAAAAGTGAGTACTTAAACATTGCTCCTTTCATTGTCGCTGCCCAGGTTGTTTCAGCTATTCGCAGGTTTGTCGAAGATCTTGGATTCCTCGAGATTGAAACTCCGATTTTACAGGTGTGCTCCCAGTTTACCAATGCGGATGATATTTTCTTACTGTATTCTATGCAGGGGGCGGCTGGAGGAGCAGATGCCAGACCATTCATAACTCATCATAATTCATTGGAACGGGATCTTTTCTTGCGCATTGCTACTGAGCTACATCTAAAGCGTATGCTGGTCTGTGCACCATCGCTTACGGGAAAGCCTTCAGCTTACGGATTGCCCTGTAGGTTGGAGGTTTTGAAAGGGTCTACGAGCTTGGCCGCATCTTCAGAAATGAAGGAATCTCTACGCGTCATAATCCTGAGTTTACGTCCATAGAGGTAAGTAATCTTGTTACTCCCTCTCAGTTAAGAATTTACAATTCAGATATATCAAGCGTATGCTGACTACAACGATATGATGGCTTTGGCCGAGGAGCTCGTTACAAAATGTGCCGAAGCCATCTTCGGAAACGCAAAGCTACTCTATCAAGTATGTCTACTTTGTGTCGTTCACGTACCTTACCTTATTTCATTTCAATTGCCAGGGAACAGAAATAGCGCTAGAAAGACCCTGGAGGCGGGCTAGCATGCAGTCACTGGTTCAGGAGGCCACTGGAATCGACTTTAGTGCTTTCGGTAGCGATCTTTCGGCAGCAAAATCGGCGGCTTTGTCAGCATTATCACCCCGGAAAGACGAATCTCTCCAAACTGTTATTGCAAACTGCGCAACAGTCGGAAACGTTCTAAATGAGGTACACATTTACTTTCTTCGTCTCCGTCGGTTTGTAAGCGTAATGATGCGGTGGCTCAGGTGTTCGAAGCAGTCGTGGAGAAAACATTAATACAGCCAACGTTCGTCACTAATCACCCGGTCGAAGTCTCTCCCCTTGCCAAAGCCCATCGGAGGTGACTTTCTTTCAGTAACTTCTTCTATATTGTATTTCGTCGGTTAAAGGGAATGGTTCTTCGCAGCTTTCCAGGCCTGGTCGAGCGCTTCGAACTTTACATTTGTGGCCGGGAGCTGGCCAATGCATTCTCGGAGCTGACAGATCCGATAGAACAGGTTCGTGCTCTTGTTTCTCCTTGCCAACCCGTGACTCAAGCAGCCTTTTGTCATCAGAGAGCCAGGTTCGAAGCGCAAATCCGAGCTTACAACAAGCAGCTGGAAGAGGCAGCAGCCGCTGCGCGAGACCGCGGAGAATCGGCGGTTAAGCAACACAAGAACGACTCATACGAAGTCACTCTAGACGAAGACTTCCTCACAGCACTGGAGTATGGAATGCCTCCCACCGCCGGAATGGTAAGAGAGTTCTAAAACTTGGAGTGACTGATAGAAATCTCTTCCTTTTATACCTCTCCAGGGAATTGGGATCGACCGCCTCGTCATGCTTCTCACGGACAGTCCAAGCATAAGAGACGTGATTGCGTTCCCGGTGTTAAAATCCCAGCAATAAGCTAAAAGGAAAGCTCTATTGTTTTAGGTGGCTTTCTCCGTGGACGCAGCGACGAGGGTGGTGGCTATCGCGGCTGCCAAGTTCGGTCGCAATCTACTCAACGAGAATCAAGTCATTGTCATCACGACATGGACACGGAAGCTGTTCGGGAGCACTACTTCAAGTTACGTGACATTCCAGATCACACAGCAAAAGCATGGATGGCTCGTGGCGGTAGTGGTGCGATGGTCACGGCACACAAGGAGCTATACGCCTACGATTTACGTGCCGGTACTACCAGAGTTCTGAGGCCATTCGGTGGGGAGGATCTAGCCCCAGCAACGAGACTGTCGTACACTTTCGGCTTTCGAAGGCAGTGATTGGGAATTGCAGTGTGTGATTGTGATTGTGTGCATGTGTGTGTGTGTGTGTGTTGGGTTTTACAGTATTTGATGGAGCAAAGTAGCAGCCATGAATGAATGGAGCTTGTGTACCTGTGTTGTGTGATAGAATGAATATGCGGAATTTGTATTTCAAGACAGCTTCCAAGGACTCCCTCTCACACGGGACCAACGGCTGGGATCTCTCTCTCTCTCTCATATCAATGTTGACTTTATCAATATCAATACCTTGTGTTGGCCAAAAGAAGAAATTTCTAGCTGTCACTCCCAAGTTTTAGTCTTCGTCTAGAGTGACTTTGTATGAGTTGTCCTCGTGTTGATTCTCCCCTCAGGCGCAATCCCAATGCCACCATAAGGCCACCGTTACATATATCCTCACCTACTGTCTGTCAAAATGATATTGATTATGTGCTTCCTAAAGTGCTTGCACTCTTGTCATCTCTAAATATCCCAACACTCATGGCCCATTGCCTCTCAAACTGGCATGCCAACTTTAACTTCTATCACATCCCACCAAACTTGCATCCATTTGTGCCATCCTTGACACTGAATGCATTTCCAAGCTAGATTAGTGGCTGAACTTCTTACTCTTTTGAACCTGTGAAGAATATCCCCACTCTTAACTTTGAACTCCAAAATGTTTTATAATTCTTGTGTCGCCTTGAGAATTTGTTGCCACACTTTTTGTTGGTTTGCTTAAGCAAACCTATAAGGGGACTGGGATAGTAGTGAATATACCTAGAATATGCTTGGATATTCTAGGATATTTTACCATCTAACGGTTGTTATTCATTTAGATTAATCTTGTATTTATAATTTATAAACATGTTTATAATTTATAAACTTTCTTAAACCTTTTCTAGTATATTCTTTTTTATTCTACCATCTAATGGTTGATATGTAATAAAATTAATCTTATATATATAAATTACAAACATGCTTATAATTATAAACTTTATTTGATCAATTGGATTAATAAGTAATAATAACACTAGTATTAAGCAAATCAAGTATTGCTACATGCAACGCGTAGCAATTTTTTTATATAAAGAGGGGTTTAAACCCTAATTAATATATCTATTCCAATATCCTAAACACTCATAATAATAGGCATTATTTTAAATAATATTTTCTAATAAAATTAAATTATTATCATTGTTTGATGAACAAAAAATGTGCTCCCATCCATCCAAGATGTGCTCTCACAGCTGCTATTGCCATTGGCGGCATCCGCTCCAGCTCGCTCGCCGACAGCTGTCGCGTCCATGATCACATCCTCGCCACACCAGAGCGTCCACCTCAGTAATCTCCTCATCCAGATGTCCAGGAAATGTGGTGGCACCAGCAGCCTCGCGGCCGTGCGTGCAGTCTTCGATCAGATGCCCAAGAAAGATGTGGTGTCTTGGAGCTGCATCATCGCGGCCTACGTGCAGTCGGGGCATTGCCGCGAGGCGATCAATCTCCTCCAGCGCATGGATGTGGAACCACTAAATGGTGATCGTGAGCACACTCGCTGCGTGCTCCGGTGCCAAGGATCTCGCGCTGGACATGGCCATCCACGCGAGAATTCTCTCCCCGGATCTCCGCAAGAGTGTGTTCGTCGGCACAGCGCTTCTCAACATGTATGCCAAGTGTGGAGCGATCGAGCGGGCCAGGGCGGTGTTTGATCAGATACCGCACAAGGATGTAATGTCGTGGACTGCGATGATCACCGCATTTGCCCAGATTGGGGATTGCCGCCAGGCGCTCGAGACGCTCAAGGGGATGATCCAAGCTCGCGTCCAGCCCAATCCGGTGACCTTCGTCGTGGCAATCACTGCGTGCTCCAGCAGGGAATTTCTCAATCAGGGCAGGAAGATCCACGCCGCCATGATCAACCTGAGCCTCCACGGAGACATCACGATCCAGAATGCGCTCGTTTCGATGTACGCGAAGGGTGGCAGCACGGAGGAAGCACTTGTGGTGTTCCAGAGGATGGAAGATCACAACAGGGTCTCGTGGAACAGCATGATCGCGGCCACACACAGTCTTGCACGGCGATGGGCCTCTTCCAGGGCATGAACTTGGAAGGGATCAAGCCCGACGACGTGAGCTTTCTGGGAGTTCTAAGTGCCTGCTCGAGCCCTGGGTGCTTGCGATCGTGCAAGCGGATCCACTCGCAGCTGGAGCTCGCCGCGGTGCACTCACCTCCAGATTTGAGCTTGGAGAACTCGCTTGTCACTGCCTACGCCAAGTGTGGAGATCTAGAGGCCACCGAGAGGATTTTTCAGAGAATCCCAGGCAAGAACGTTGTGTCCTGGACGGCCATGCTCACTGCTTACACCTTTCACGGCAATGGATCCAAAGCTCTCGAGCTCTACGACAAGATGGTCGGGCAGTCGATCAACGTAATCTACACCGGATCACTGGTCGGGGACGTCGGCCTCGCGAGAAAGCTCCACGCTCGCGTTGCTTCCTCCAACTTCATGCTCAAGATCCAGATCCAGAATGCGCTCATCAACATGTACGCGCAGTGCGGCAGCCTGGAGGAGGCAAGGTGGGTGTTTGATGGGATTGAGAAGAAGAACTTGGTGTCATGGAACGCGATGATGGGATCTTATATGCAGCACGGATACAACGAGGAAGCAATTGCATTGTTGCTGGGAACTCGAGGACCATGGAGTCCGGCTTGAGGTGCTCGGTCTCTGCGAGCTCGGACTCTAGTTTGTACACAAAGAGTGTGAAGAGCTCGGACTCCACTAACACCTCGGCCTCCACCATCTCGGACTCCATTCTAAAGCCCGATTGCATCATGGCCGTCATTCTCCTGTGTGCCCATGCCAGCATGGGCAAGCTCGCCGAGGGGCGGCGCATCCACGCTGAGCTATGTGCCGTGAATCCGGAGATTCTTGGGCAATGCGCTGGTTAGCATGTATGCGCGCTGCGGCAGCATGGGAGACGCCACCGCCGCCTTCCACCGCATGAGAGCCTGCGACACAGTGACATGGAGTTCCCTAGTGGCGGGATACGCCCACCACAGCCATGCCGAATATGCCATCCTCCTCTACTGTGACATGCACCTCGAGGGCATCCAGCGTCACCTACGTCAGCATCCTCAACTCGTGCAGCCATGCCCAGGCGCGGCATTTCTTCGTGTCCATGGTTGAGGACCACTGCCTGGCAGCATGGCCCAACCACTGGAAGTGCATGGTGGACGTGCTGGGGCAGGTGGGGTTTGTCGGGCGGGCGGAGGACGTGGTGAGGAATATGCCGTTCCAGTGGTGGCGTGGAACACGCTGCTGGGGTGCTGCAATGTGCACGGGGACGTGCGGGCTGTGGCAGCATGGAACGCGGTGGGGATTAGCCCGGGTTTTGCGGGGTCAACGGTGCTGCTGTCCAATATGTATCCAGAGATTGAGTGCATAGATTTAAACGTCAGTTTAGGGTTTATCTATTTCCAGAATCTGGTCAACGTGACTAGAGAATGCACAAAAGTTCAACCTGAACAGTGGTATCAGTCAATTTTCTACAATTTGCAGCCCTGTTGGATTCTTGTTGGGATTTTTCTTTTGTTGCAGCTTTTGTTTGCCACATACCATGAATGCCAGAAGCATGGTTTTAAAGAAATTCTTCCAGTGGACACAACCAGTGAGTCCATATTCTGGAAAAAGCTGGAAGAGACCACACAAAATAGTATTCAAAGTTAATCACATGGATTGTAATGAAAAACAAGTAAAAACTTATCTTGAAACAAGCGCCTCCTTTTTTTCTAAATCGTCATTGCAAGCATTTACAAAGCTTTGGAACGTTGGAGAAATCCCGGGACTTTTTTCCTCAAGCTGGATCACCGTGTCCAATCCTTCCACCCATCCATTTCTTCTGTAAGCCTTGGCGATCTCTTCCGCCACCAGTGGCGATGCCAGACTCATCTCCCTGGCTAGCATCGCCCCCACACAGCGCTGGAGCTCGTCGAGACGATCCAGCCACGGGTATCCAACGAGCAATGCGTTGTAGCTCTCCTTGCTAAGTTCCTCCTCCTCCTCCACCATTTCCCTGTGTGTCTTGTCGAAATCCTCCGGCATTCCCATCTTCGAGTAGCCGCAGAGGAGAGTGTTGTAAGTCATGGCATCGGGACGGAAGCTCGAGCACTTGCTGTCGCCCAGGAGATTTGCAAGGCCTGGCGCATCCCCCAACCTCGCAAACATGGCGATGAGGATGTAGTACGTGACTGCGTTTGGCGAGCACCCCTTACGGAAGGCTTTCATCTGTTCGAGGATGGAGAGTGCGGTTTAAGCGTCACCTTTCTTGGCGTAGGCGAGGATGAGAGCGTTGCAGCACTTCGTCGATTGCTTGAGCCCCTTGCCTTTGGAACCAGATGCGTGCTAGCCTCAGGCTCCGAACGACTCCGGCATAAGAGATCATCCTCGCGTAAAGTGGCTCAGTTAGCATTTAAAGTTATTGTAAAAGCTGATAAAACTGATGCATCTGCTTATGTTATGATGCAAGATATTTATGAAACATTAAGTATGTTCAAAGAAAAGCAAGGGACAGAACGTGAAAGGAAAGAACAAAAGGCATTGAAAAAACAAGGAGTAAGTTTCTGGAGTGATGATAATGGCAAAGTACATGAATTTTGGCCAGATTTGAGATGTGGAAATAAGGAAAATAAGTTGACAGAGTATGGAGGTTGTATGCACAGCAAACTAAAATCTCTAAAGTATGCTTTTGGGCATACTAAACCTGAGAAAGTAATTCTTATCATAAAATTTATTAGAATGTGTATCAATTGCCATGATGCAACTAGAGATCTTTCTCAGCCATAATCACAGTCAACAGTTGTCACTTTTTCCAGAATGGTAAGTGTTCATGTGAGTGATATGTAACACCTAAATAGTTTATATTATATAATAATACAGAGTTTACAGGACGTGCTGTTCAAAGTGGGAGGTATCAATACACAGCCAGTACTCAACTGCAAATATAAAGAAATTTGAACATGCATTTAAAAAGTAATAACACTATCAGATATCAAAACATAGTAAAGCACACTTGTGTAGCAATCAGAGTCAAACATTTCAAAGAAGCAGCTAGTCAGACCATGCTATCATTGTTACACTACTTACAATTGTTCATTCAAGAAGGAAGAAGAAGAGTTGCTTGGGCATGAGATAAATACTTTAAAAGCAGCTTCTACTCAGGAAATGGATGCAACTTGCATTGTTTGAAAAGAAAAACTCAGAGACTTGTTGCTAGCTGGAAATATATTGATGTTGGCAGATCTGTGATGTTGTTTGTTGTGCTGTATTCTGGGTTTAGCTAACCCTAAACCCTAAACCCTAAACGGTTAAGCACGGGGGATTGAGAGACTGCTTCGATATTGTTGTTCAAAGGATGCAAAGCACAACTTCCAGCCAAATGATACTTGTGAGCTTCCAGTAGGTACTTAGTCAAGTGGCTTTATTTTCACTTACAAATCATGGGGATAGTTTTTGATAATGAGCTTAGATCAGGGTTTGGAACAAATAGCCATGGCTCTGGTTGGAAATCCTGTCAAAGTTTATCAATACAAGATATTTGGATATGCTTTTTATACTTGAATCTTCTGCTTTCTTTAAATTTTGAATTTTCATATTATTTAGAACTAAAGATAATATATTTCTTGGTTTTTGGTGATAACTTTATAAATATGTATAGACTGTCTATATTATGTAACAGAGATGAGAATACAGTATATATAGAGTTTATGCAGGAACTATCTTAAAAAACTATATTTGTTGTTTTTACAAATTAATCTTCTTTACTGGAAACTTTTATTTAAGTTTCAAAATATCATAGTTATGGTAGATATGTTTATCTTGGTTCTTAGTCTCTGAGTCTCTGAGCAAATAACCAAGAAATCCTAAACTTTTGGTGTAATCATGTTGGTATTGCACCTATCCTTGATGTGTTGCCATTTCCAGCTTCCATGGGACATGATTACACAGTTTGTCCTATTCTCAGTATTTTGCCATCTCCCGCTGATATAAAGTGTAATTGTGACATTGATTGGCGAGTTTTGGATGATGCAATCCAATTTTTGGAGAATGTTTAAGGATCAAGTTTATAGGAAGATAATGTGTACAAGCTCAAATGGATTCCAGAGTGTGATAATGAACTTGATTATTATGGAGATAGCTTTGGAGATGAAGTGGAGATTTCACGGGGTAGGTGTCAATCTTTTAATCTGCCATTTGATCATTTCTCTTTCCCTTCTCCTTTTTTCTAACCTTTTTTTTTTTTTCTTGGCATGAGCCACCTTCTTATATTCTTAGTATTTCTTCCTCATCTACATCTTCTCCTAGCATGTCAATAATTTGTAACTCTCATGATTCTTATTCTCAGTCCAGTGTTAAGTTGAGTGTTTTCTATCTTCCTTATACTATTTGGATGTTGAGTGTGTCCATGAAGTTGAAAATCTTGCTTTTTTTTTGTTGATAGAGTCTTTGATCAGTTTTAGTGTTGAGTATTCCCCTGTTCCAAAGGTTGAGTCACTTTTACCAGAGTTTTGGGTTGAAAGCATGCCCCCACTTGTGAATGATGCTAAAAGCTTTTGTAAGTGATTAATTTTTCCATTCGACTTTAATCACTTAACCACACCTCCGACCATTTAGAGGAGTCTCATTCACAACATCCATAAGTCTAATTCAGGACTTAGGGCTTACTAGCCCCAAGAATGGCATCCATACCACTCAACCTTTGCACTTAGTCCAAGTGCTCCACATGTCTAATCCCATGACCGACACCCCAAGGTACCACCACTATACCAGCCTATTACGCTAAGGCCATGCCCATTCACCTTGGTCACACCAATGGTCCAACACCACCTGCATCGCAATCCCGTCTCTCAAAGACTTGGCCATCCGTCCATGAGTAACTATCTTAGATCCACTCCTTAGCATCTTTAAGATGCCCACATACATAGGGAATACCCTTCCCCAATATCCCTTTTACAGTCCCCACCAAATCCCTTTTCTGTCCATGGTGGTGTTCGCCAACACCACCACTAGGACAAAGCCCACAAGCCCGACCATTAAGTCCCATTGTCCTTTGGGACTTCCTCACCATATGAACGTATCCTTGGTCACTACACCAAAGGATCACTTCTCTTCTTTTCCATAGTTTGGGACTTTAATACAACATTTTAGAACACCGTGGCCCTACGCAAGCCTCATAGGTACTCTCCCCACCTTCTGTCTTTGAGTGCTTTAACCATGGGCTTAGAGTGAGGTTCCGTTGAGCCACACTAGGTATCCAAGTAGGTAGTGCCACCCATGCTTGGACTAAGAGCATCAACCATTAAATCTCTCGAGGGAATTATAGCCGGCTCTTGAACACTTCACCAAACTACCCCACTTATCAGTCTGTATTCACTCTAGCCTTGAACTTCCTAATAGTTATCTCATCACCCAACAGCTGGTATGGCCAAACTGGGCCAAACTAGCCTTTTCTAGCCAAATTGGCTCCACTGGGGTCCAACCCCCACACTATCCCTACTATACTTTTGGAACCCCTACACCCCCCCCGGGGGACGAATACTTTGGGCTTTCACCCAACAGCCTGTATTAGTATTCGGACTCGGACTCAGACTTGGTCTCGGTTCTATCTCGGATTCCATCTTGGGTCCATCTCAGACTCCATCTTGGACTCCACATCTCAGACTCTATCTCAAGTCCATCTCAGACTCCACTCAGACTCCATCTCAGGTCCATCTCGGACTCCATTTTAGGTCCATCTCAAACTCCACTCAGACTCCATCTCAGGTCCATCTCGGACTCCATTTCAGGTCCATCTCAGACTCCATCTCGGGTCCATCTTGGACTCCATCTTGGATTCCATCTCGGACCCCATCTTGGACTCCATCTCGGGTCCATCTCAGACTCCACCTTGGACTCCATCTCAGGTTCATCTCGGACTCCATGTGGAGTTCAAGATGGACCCGAGATAGAGTCTGAGATGGAGTCCATGATAGATCTGAGATGGATCCGAGATGGAGTCTAAGATGGAGTCCGAGATGGAATCCAAGATGGAGTTTGAGAATCTCGGATCCATCTTAGACTCCATCTCGGACTCCATCTCGGGTTCATCTTAGGTCCATCTCATGTCCCTTTTCTAGAGACTCATTTATTGCTTGTTTTGACCTTTTTCCTCAAGCCCTTCTTTGGGGAGTTCTACTCCCACTCTCGACTTTTCAAGTCAAAGCTTTTAGTCCAAATGTGTTGCACTCGTTTGGTTTCCGCTTCGGCCACTACTACATGGCACCCTTTTGGCTCCACTTTTGGGACTTTGGGATTAATGTCTCACAACTCCACCACCCATAGACAAAGTTTGATGTCCTTATTGAATGGTAAACCATTTTATAAAGTAACACAACCATGTATTACCCCTTCCATCCTTGGCACCTAGCCAATATTCGTTAATGGTTTGACATTGAAGGCTTACCATACCTTCTCCATCCTCTAAGAAGCATAATCTCTATAATGTAAAGACTTGATTGACCATTTGTGGTGGTTTTCTCCCTTTTGTTGGTTTAGTTTTTGTTAAACCCTTTAAAGACACCTTCTCTATCTCAATCCCACTATTCATTCTTGAGTAGTCTCAACTTCTATCGATATAACCATTCCACTTTAGAATCTTTAATCTTGACTTCTCAAAGTCAATTTCCTAAGTGTCTCTAACACCTTTTATTGTATATATTGTGCAAACTCCACTTCCCCATCCTAACTTGAGGGCACCATCATCCTTTTTTCTATTTCGTACCACCTTTAAGCACTAAATTCCAACTATCGTAAGTTGTGCTAGAGCTATCCACGGCCCTATCATTTGGCTACTTTGCTGCTCCCTCCCTTAGAGCTTTCACCTTTGCCAAATTAAAACATTTAAGAATCCATCCTTGGAAACACACTTCCTTTTCCACAATGCATTAGCATTTGTTTCTTGCCTAACTTTGCGATTTGGATTTCTTCTAATGAATTTCATGGCCCACATTTGGCCACTAGTCTTTTACTCATATCTATTGATTGTTGTACCAAATAACATAGGATCACTACCTCCATTTTTAAGATATTCTTTTGGTTCCATGGCAAAGATTGTACTTTGCCAAGTTCAGAGGGTGCTCACCCTTAGTTGGTCTTTTTAGCATTTTCTGCTATGGGCTTCGTCCATAACCCAACTTTGTAACCCTCCCATGGGTCTTTCCTAGAGACTATTTTCTTGAACTCAATATATC